GCAAAATCTAAAGATAAACATAAACTACTGAACTGAAGAATACTCAGTTCTTCCAAAAAAATCACCATAGACTACTAAACTGAAGAATACTATATAAGTTATTCCAAAAAAACTGATATTTTAAATTGACCTTTTCTTTGGGCGTGGTGACCACGGGCTGCCCCGGCTGCTTAGACCGGGCCTTGCTTGATGCAGCAGAGTCAGAGGCGAAGGGTTCTGCGTGAACTGGGCATGGGAAGATCTGGCAGTATCTGGATAATCAATATATATATATATATACCCTCTGGTAAACTAACATAGCTATTGGAAATGGCCATTTATAGTGGAATTTCCCATTAATAATGGTGATTTTCCATAGCTATGTTAGTTTACCAGAGGGTATCATAACTGGTTGGTGGTTTTGAACATGTTTTGATTTTTTCCATATATTGGGAATAATCATCCCAACTGACCTTCATAATTTTCAGAGGGATAGGTATATACCACCAACCAGATAATATGCTGAATTATGAATCTATCCATCTATCAAACCAGGAATCAGATCCTTAAGCAGTAGATGTTCTTATTGTACAATATGTGTCAATATGGGGATTTCCATAAATGGGGGATCCCCCAAAATGGTTGGTTTGTAATGGAAAATCCATCTAATTATGATGACCTCACCGTTTTCCGTCCCTGGAATGATGGTCCATGGTTAGTTGGGGTAACTATCCCAATATTTCTTATTTCAGATTAGTGAATTACTATAATTTATCCAGATCTATAATTTTGAAAAATGGTTTATATATACTATCACATCTATGTTTTGTTTGTTTCAATATGTTAGAAGAAGTCTATATATATATATATAATTCTAGAAATGAGAGATCCATTATAGATTGTATGTTGTAATATTTATATATATATAACCCCCCCATGTTTTCAACCAATCTCTTGTATTGTCAGCTAATCCCCGGATGCATAGAGCCAGAATTATCTTTTATCTTTGGGAAATATTGTACCTAAAATTGACAGGAACTGAAAGTCCAAATTCTAGCTTTGGAGTTGAATATGGACCAAGTTATGGGAATATCATCTATATATAGTCGGGAAATCCATCATACATAGATTTAACGGGTAGAAGTCCCCGAACTACTTGGGAATAATGCATATCATGGGAAATCCCCTATGAATGAAGGCTTTAGTTGGAAAATCATGGAAGGAAATCAAGATTTTCCATTGTCATGGTTGATTGTCAGAGGGTAATGGGAATATTGTATGGGAATATTAGAGTTCACTGTATATTCAGACTATGTACAACTATGTATCAATAATTGGGAGAGTTTACAGGAACATGTGGGTGTAAAACAAACAGAAATGATGATAGTTTATGGTGTGTACATATATATATATACATACATATATATATATATATATATATTTGAGCTACAGCCAAAATTAAGGTAATGAAGAGTAGTATTTGAGAGGTTTCTTTCTTTGAAAATTGAGCTGAGGCTTGGAAAACAATACGGAACTCTCCCAAGAACGATAACATGTGCCGGGCATTCACCATTTGTTTGAGAGATAAGCAAGCAGCCAAATGTCAATCTTTGGCTTTAACGCTTGCTGCTTGCTATTGCCACCATCTTGGCCACTGGGAGGGAACAGGTCCTGCATTTAAGCGTGGTGATACGAATGCTATACGAATGCTATAATTACATTCCTCTCTTCATCTCTTTTGGTTTGTGCTTCCTATACTGTGATAGAATGTTCTATGTTGATGAAGGCATATCTGCCATATATTTGCCATAGTGTTTGCTCACTTTTTGCGGCAGTTGGTTTTTGTTTTTCCCCGGCAGCCTCCACCATATCATATGTGTGCTCATATGTGAGCAACGGCTTTTATTTGCTAATGTACAGAGGAAAAAGCAAGTCTTCTGGTGGAAATACATTATGTTTCAACTTCAGAATAAGGCTGAAGAGGAGATGGGTCCGCCGAAAAAAGAACGCAGTAAGTCATATTTGAAGACTTAGAAACGACAATTCACAAAGTGTGGTTATTTTGATGGGACCACCCCTTTTTTTTCGCATGATATTCTTGGGTTGTACCATCCTGTTCAGACCGCTCTCCGTGTTTCCCCCATCTCGTTCCAGCGATCCGGCAGTAACAGCATCTGAGCATCTGCAGATGATTTTCCATGGCCCATAGTCATAGGCCTCCAGTTTATATACAGGTATAAATCATATATGATGATAGTATCATGTATGCCCTACAGCCTCCATACCTCCAGTTTATGATGATGATACTATCTTAGTTTACTGGAGGGTATCATCAACAATCTCGGGTTGGTACTCGAAGCCGAGATCTTCGATGTTTCTCGAAGCCGAGATTTTAAGCACTCGATTCAGACCCGGTAACAAGGTGCCTTAGCGGCCTTAGCCCAAGACATAAATGAATTGTGCTCACATCACACACATGTGTGCCATGGTTATCCATGGTTAAAACTTGGGTAAGTTTGCCACATTGTAGGATGGTAGTGCCACCTATATTAGCGACCAAAAAACCCAGGCAATGCCACATCCCCATCGATCCCATCGTAACATAGATGTGAAAAACGCACCATTTGTGGATCATGTTCCTTGAGAAACCATGGGTTTTCCATGGTTTTGCACATCTATGTTAGTTTCCCTTGGGGTATCAAAGCGTCCTACCAGGCATCTTGAGCGAACTTCGAGGCTTGGGTGACGCAACTGAAGTCACACATGATTTTTTTTCCTGTAGCCATTGGATTTTTGGACCTGAGACATCTTGTTCTAGGTTGGCCATGGACCAAATGTTGATGTTAAGCAACGCGGGGCAGAACGTGTTGAGATTTCCAGTGACATCCATAGATCACCACGTGATTTCAGTGTGAGTCCAGAGGTAAAAGTTCTGTTTGTAGCCAGGTCTAGGTCGGGATATCATCATCATCATCATCATAATCATCAGCACCATCACCATGACCATGACCATCATCATCATCAGCAGCAGCATCATCATCATTGATGATGATAGCAATAACAATGCATAACAATGCGAATAATGTTTACCTGGGCCTTCCAACTCCTAAAAAATATCAGTCGTTTTGCACAATAATCAGGCGTTTCATCAAATTTATGGTCGTATCAAGCGTTTCCCCAAAAAGTTAGGCGTGGTATGTCATGGCTGCATTTCCCATCAGCATGGCCCTCCTCCCAGTCTTCTCACCAGTATTTTGCTTCCAATCCGCACATCCAAGTTGGTTTCTGTTTAATTGCGCGCTCCCAAAATTATACAAATTTACCAGATTCTTGGATTTGCGGGCATTTGCGGGTTTTTGCGGGCGTTTTGTGGGTAATTTTGGGCGCAGTTACGCGCATTTATATGTGTTGGTGCTCGGGATATGAGAATGGCCTGGTATATCTCCCTGGGACGCAGGCAGGATGCAAGCCATGTTCAGTCATATTCAAAATGTCACTTGTGGTGATAGTGTGGCCACTAGGAAGCAAAACCAGGCAAACTAGTAGAATTAGACGAGAATCTGAAAACTGGTTCATTTTAGGTCAGACTCCAAAACTACCAAAAATAATTGATCGAAGGAATGTTCAGGTAGAAAAAAAAAGTGAAATTCTGTCTTGCAGACATGTGTTTTTCTGTGTGAGGCAGCCTCTGAATTGGCCAAGTAGTTTCACAACGAGTCCGTAACGTGCCAATCTTCAAGCCCACGGCAGCCCAGTCATGCAACGTTTGGGTGTCGGTGGGTGGCTTTTCGGAGCGGGGCTGGATCATGGATCAATGAGGATCAATGGGGATCACCTATCCGACCATCAAGCCGAGATTCGATCAGAATTCCAGCTCCCGCCCTCATTTTCGAACGCCAGTGAAACAGCTGAGCAAATCACAGAGCCCACTATGTCATCACTAGTCCTTTTTGAACGCCCCTCGCCTCACCTGGTGGCTGCCATCGATCCATCGAATTTTCCAAAAAAAACAACGGACTGGTGAATCTGCAGCCAAGTGGATGGGAAAACCCAAATTGTAATTTCACCAACTGAGTGCCTCAACCAGTGTTTTGTATTGTTCTTTCAAGTCATGACACCTGTGAAACGGCTGCAAAAAAACGCGCTTTGTTAGCGCTTTATTGATTGAAGGTGCACCAATTTCTGTTGTGTTCTATGTTCCTCTGATTTGAGCATGCAATGTGTTACTCGGTGTTTTGTTCGCATCTTAATCCCCTTTTGTACAGGACTTTCCCGACAGGGCCACTGCGGCCATGCGCACAGAGGAAAATGACCTGTTCGCACCTGGTTGCTGTCTTGGCTGGTCATCCTGTTACAAGGTTCAGTGCTCTCCATGGATACTTGCAAGCTCAGAATTTAGATGAACATGATAGACATCAACACCATGTGCAGAGTTTGCTCCTTTGTTCAAAGTAAAGAATTGCAAAATTGCTCGGCTCCGCAGTTTTCGGTTGGTTTGGTATGCTTTATGTCAAGAGCTTCTCATAACCTGTTTCATTTTTACCAGTGCTGGCTACCGTATCATGGTCCAGCCTAAACTGTACCTCATCACCTATTTGAATGGTCAGATGATTTTGATCGCTCCCTAATCAGCACGTTTAGTGACTGCAGGTCAGCATCATACAGAAAGTTTCCAGTCAGAAGTGAGTTATTCGAAACCTGCTGGACCTAGTTTTCAACACTCCTACCTCACACTAGTTACCATGAACACTTAAATTCCTAGTGAACAGTTTAGCAAAAAGCACAGCACTCCTTTTGGCTCGCCCACCTGTACATATCGACGGCCATGGGGGTAGAGACCTCAAGAATCCCTCAAGCCCTAAACAGTAAAAAGCACTGGTTCTTGCAGATGTGTAGCAAACGAACTAACCTGGGTTTTATATGGTTTTATGAACTAACCTGGGCTGCCTCACCTTGTGAAAAATCAGGTGCCGATGCTTCGTCCCACCCCCGCTTCCTTGACAGTGTGAAGTGTCAACAGCATGGCACCTTGGACAAAGACGTAACGGAAACCACCTGGTTGGGAGATGTTCACCAAGAAATATGGGGGAGTGGCATTCAAAAATTGTGACATTTGGTGATGGGTAGTTTAGTACTTCACTGCAAATTAGATCTTGTGCTATGAAAAGCGGATTTTCTTGTGCAAGATATCCAAGATAGGCCATGTTTCATTCATCTTGTGGAAACATATGGGCCATATCTTTAGTATTCTTTAGTCATTAACGAGCATTTTGGATGCTGTTCGGCCTCAGCTTCTTTCCCTTATTTATCATCAAACTAACTTCCCAAGGCTGTTGTTAAAGAAGGATCTATTCATGTGGGGCCTAATGATGTGGGAGATCACATTGGAAGGCATCATATGTTCATCATGACAATTGGATTTGATTTCATGGGTAACCCCTTTTTCGGCTCAATGATCAATATATTATATCAATATATAATATATAGCATAATTTATAAATCACAGTGGGCTATAGCTATAACATTACTAGACACTGTCGTTTGTAAACAGATATAAGATATAAACGGTATCATCACCACACTCAACAGAATGCATGGCTATCAGTGGCTTGTCATAAAAAAAAAAAACGTTCCGGACGGACTTGGCGACTTCATCCATGACCTTGCCAGGTGCCGATACCAGTCCGGGATCCCAAATCCAATGGTTTCGCCATGGGATTTCGATGGCCCTAATCGAAATAGATGGTTTACCGAACTTAATAGCATGGTGGATCTTTCCATGGCAAACTGTTTGTTAAATAACCAGATGGTACTGATTATGCAATTTTGCGACAAAGCCATTGTTTGTTTCCCAAGATTTTGTCTTTCCATACCTGCTTTGGGAAGATGCGTTCATTTATCAGCCACGCAACCAGATATCTCTTATAATCTTCAATTCCGCCAGCAAATGTCCGTTAAAATTTGGCTGAAAGGTATTTCAGGTATATATATATATATATGCGGCCTATGTGCAGTTGTTTTGCTTCTGATGTTGGCCTTTAGCCATCAGTGTGGGGCCACTCATCCACATATCATAATATGACCAAAAGTTGCTATTGGCCATCATGGGAACGTTTTTTGCACATCATCCAAAAAAAACCACCGAGATGTCCGCCATGACTCCAAGTCAGTGAGTCCGCCACTGGAGGCCTGGCTTGATATCTTCCGTTTCTGTAGCATCTCAGACTTGGGTCCCTTGGCCAAGAGCACCGCTACACGCGATGCGTGTGATCTGAAAGGGGGACGTATATAAAAAATTGGGTGTTGAAAGGGGGAAGGGATTACTTTCCCAGTTTTTTTTTGTAAGTGGAGTTGATATGAGATTCAGCAGGGTAAATCATCCATTTTCCCGTAGTTATCCTATAATGAACCCTCCAATTTCCCAGAATATCCCTATTGATTATTCTGGTTGGTGCTTTGGTTTCCGGGAATTTTGAATGACATTCCAGAAACCGTTGGGAATCTCAGCATCCAACGCATCCGAGTTGTCCATGATTTTGAAAAGAGGGCTAGGCGAAAAAACACCAACATCCACCAACCAGTTATGAGTTGATAAATGAATTACTGGTTAGCATTTGGCCGATGTTTTTTTTGCACATGTCGACGTCGACACATTTTTTTTGTGAGTTTTCCAGCCCGTCATCGGCCTGAAAAGGTCGGATGGGGATTCAAAGCGACCTGGAGTTGACCACTCCAAAGACGACCGTGAAACGAATCTTCCAGTGGTAAAAATCGGTGGAAAGATATATCGAAGAAGTTGGATATGAAAAATTTGGCTGTTACGGAGTTTCCTAATCCCCATGACGGATCCGGCCGGTGCTGGTAGATTAATGCTAACATTGATTGGGGGTTTTTGTTGATGGGATCCATGGCACACCATTAATATAGCAGCACCGTTAGGATCCGTCATGGGTCAAGAAACCAAGTTCTTCTTTCAAAAAATCTGGTTGTCAGGTGCCAGTTTGGCCGTGGACAAGCACTGGCGAACAGTTGCGGACTCCTACCACGTCTGGGCTGATGCCTATGTTGGGGCCGCTCAGCTCTGTTGTGACTTTAGGGAGTCCAGCGAAAAAATGCACTGAACACAGGACGAAAAATGGAAGAAACATGGGAATTCATTACCAATAAAATGTGTTTTTCGGGAATATTATAAAGATGGATGAATGATTAGTTATTGAGTATAATGATGATGTTCTGTGAAAATGTGAATTGTCACCAACAACTGTGGTATGGCTTCGTCCAAACAGGGGATGATTGCACCAATTTCTGTCACTTTGTGGCTTCCGTGTGGCCAGTGGGTTGTACCCAGGCTTTCCGCAACGAATGGGAAGGTCAAACATTGCCCTCCGGTAATCAAACATTGCAATGAGTATGGCAATGGGAAATCCTGGAAGTAATGGAGGTTTAGTTAGCTGGGAAAACCATTGAACGAAATGGATCGAAATGGTGCATTTTCCAGCTTGCGCCATGTTTGATTGCCGGAGGGTATCAAATTGAATTGTGCTAGACAGAGATTCCACTTCTTTCCTTACCCAGATGCTCCATGTATGGAATATTTACCTACATTTACCCCAAAAATGGCGCAAATGTAGGTAAATATTCTATACATGGAGCATCTGGGTTAGGATAAAAAACAGAACATCTATTTCTGTCACAAGCTGATGGATCAAGATGATCAAAAAATGTGCCAGCGTGGCAGCCTGACGTGATCATGCGGAAGAAGTAGCTACATCCCCACATATCCCCACTAACCTGGATTTGCTGAAAGATTAGCACTGTGCTAATCCACCAAAATTATAGACCCTATTGGGAAGATGGTTTAATTCGAAAAAAAAAAACAAATCAGCAACTCCAAGTCAAGTACAATAAGATTATACCTGCACAGTTGCACTCCGCACGAGGAATATCAGTTTTGATCACCCGAGCTGCCCCAGTGCCATTGGTCGCACAGGAGCGAACGCAAAGAGTGGATGACTCCAGTTCACCCAACGGCGGGGGAACTCGGGGTAGCAGGACAAAAATCTTCAAATTGAATTGATTTAGCATAAAATGGATGGACATCGGATGAGTAGATGATTTGTAGTTTAGCTGATTTTAGGTTGAGACGATTGGTGTCGTATTCAAAAAGACTAGATAACCCATAGGATCCATGTATGGTATATATGCTAACATTGGGGATATATTGATGGGATCCATGTTACCATATATAGCATACATCGATCCTATGGGTAAGGAAATCAGATAGATGTGTGATGGTTGAAACAGCCTCTTTTGGGCACTTTCGGGCTACGTATGACGCAGACACTAATATGAATGTAGAGCATCGGTAACAGCAGACAGCAGGCTCCAACCCATTGAACGGTCAGCACTCATCTATTTTGTGGGTAAAGAATGACTATACGCAAGGGACAATCCACGATTTGTAGGATTTTGTAGGTTTTGTTGATTCTGAACTTGCTTTGATGGGACAAGCAGGTGTCGCTCTGGCGACCCAGAAAAACGTCCTCCCACCATTTTTTTTTTTTACACCTCAGTGTTTTTCAGAGTAGAAAATGTGTGAAAAAAACATGGGAACATGATCAGATTGTTTTGATCACATTGATCCGTGGAGATGTGAGGTGAAGGTCCATTGCGATCCCTGATCCAACGTCCCTTCGGGGAGGCACGTTGGGACCATCCTAAAAGTGAAGGTGCCGTGCCAGTTACAGATGGGGGAGCTTCGCTCTCGGTTCCATTTCTAATCTTCCTGAGGTATAGATAAATGATGTTCTGTCTTGAATTAAATCTCATGTATACCATTGTAATTATACCGCATACCGCATACCTGTGAAAATTGGTCAAGTTGTTCTTGTTCTATCCATTCTAAGAGGGTCATTTATCATCATTTATCCCATGCACTTGAAACAAATTGAAATTCTTCATCAAACAAGAGCAACAGAATTTCTCTAGAACATCCCCTTTGATGAGTTCTCTTTGTAAATTTCAATGGATCAACAAAAAGCAGAAACTCCATATGGATCATCCATACCCATGACGGATCCATGGTGCTGCTATATATGGTGTGCCATGGATCCCATCAACAAAAATCCCCAATCAATGTTAGCATTAATCTACCAGCACCATCATGGATCCGTCATAGGGATTTGTTGTTGACCTTAAAAATCACCCAGTTTTGTCGGTAAATATACCAGCACCATGGATCCTATGGGATTAATATACCAGAAAATCACCCAGTTTTGTAGGTAAATATAACATTTACATACATTTACCATCAATATATCCCCTTTTATGTTACCAGCACCATGGATCCGTCATGGGATTACCATCACCAACCCTTCACCAAGCGACGCCAGATTCTCGTTCTGCCAGGACGCCATAGGTTGGCACGTGGCGGTGCTCTCCGAAGAGAACGCTCCCGATGGCTCGGAGCAAGAGAAGTATTTCACAGGCGCGAAGCGCTAAGGAACTGGTTGAAGCCATGGCCATAGATTTATAGTGGATTTACCCATGAAAAATGGTGGATCTTTCCAGTTCGTTATGTTATTGAATTCATATCTGGTTGGTGGTTTCAAACATAAATTTTATTTTCCATTTCATATATATGGATATATATGGGATGTCATCCGAAACCCATTGACGAACTCCATGATTTTTCAAGATGGTTAAAACCACCAACCAGGGAAAACAGCTGGAAATTTCGCGCAACAAGTTGTAAACAATTGGACAACAGTTGAAGTCTGTATGGACATGTGTATCTTGATGTTGCTTGGCCTCCGCAAAATCTTGGTGAATGTTGTTTTTGCGGGTTGTTGGACATATGTTTGGCCATTTTGTTTCAGAGTATGGCACATCGTATCCCACCAACTATACTAATATGCAATGCCATGCCATATCATGCCATATTTGTATCTCATTCTATATTTGTCTATAGATAGAGATATGATTTGTGGTTGTTGAAGATATGATATGTGGTATCAACCATAAACAAATGCGGGATAAAATACGTGCTTTACGTGGTGTTTGGTTTTTTTAGTGCCCAAAATTAGAGAACTCTAAATCGCTCCGAAAGCCATGGGTGCCCTGTTTTCATAGACATGGATTTGTCACGGTTTGTCTGAAATCGGGGCACTCCAAAATCCATTGGTGTAGCAAAGCGTTTCTTACCCATAGGATCCATGGTGCTGGTATATATGCTAACATAAAGGGGGTATATTGATGGGATCCATGTTACCATATATTATATAGCATACATGGATCCTATGGGTTATGAAGATTGCCACTTTTGGAGCATACTGTACCCCTTTTTTTGATGACACTCCCAAATCTGCGCAAATGATGCGATGCTTGACTTCTTGCTGACAGTCAGCATGATGTTTGGCTATCATAGATTACCTTGCCATCTTCAAGTACGCAGCCTCAAACAACATGCTTCTTCGGTTGAAAGAGTGGGCTGAGTGGGTGGTATGTTGCAGATGATCATAGTCCATGAACTAGAAATCACCATGACCAAATTCATCCAGAATGGTCACCATTTTTGGGGCAGATTTACAGCAGATAACTAAATGTTTTTTTTCCTTAACTTGGCTTTAGTTCCACTGCTCAAGTTTGTCTCTTACACTTCTTTAACCATGGTGTAGATGGTATCATATACATAAATCGTATCATTTAACATCATTCAACTCTTTCTATTTTTCATAATTTTCCGTAAATGGTATCATTGTTAAATCCATTATTGTTTAAATCAATATGGTTAATAAGAGTTTTCTATGTTCAATGTGTAAACAGTACATCATTGTTTTTTTCGCAAAAAACACATGGAGTTAGCACATGAGAATGTTCATAAACACCATTGCTATGTCTTCATTAAAATCCATATCCCATAGGATCCATGTATGGTATATATGCTAACATTGGGGATATATTGATGGGATCCATGTTACCATATACAGCAGCACCATGGATCCTATGGGTTAAAATCCATATGGTTAGTACATCATTGTCGTTCATTAAAAACTATAGCAGCGGTATGTCCAGCGGTTGCCTGAGAAGTGCCTCTTCTTTTTTGCGCCACGGGATGACTGGGATGACCTGACCATGGCGACCACAACTGGCCCAGGCTAAGCATACTGATTAAGTGATGTTAAGTGGATATATATATATATACATATATATATATATTAAACATGATATATATATGTTGGTAGCGGGCCGCACACCCCGAGCGGCCTTTTCGCTCCACATGGGCCAAAAGTCCCTGCGACATGTTCCACCCTTCGACCTGGCTCTGATCTTACACTCCCAAAACTTTGAAAAACTTTGTTCGCATCCTTATGCAAACTTTCGGGTCACCGATGTGCCCGGAATCTTGGCACCTTCATCGGCGTCCACGCCGGCAGCTTTCATATACAAAACTAGATCCCGCAATTTGGCGGAACCTGAGCTGAAATGAGCAAACAGGTAAGAACGATAGCTACGGATCTCTTCTGAGTGACCAAAAGCAATTTCTCGGTACACCTTGCGATTTTCAAACTTTCCGAACGGCACCAGGCATCTTCCCCAGTGTTCCACTGACACAATGCCGGGTGGTAATTCTTCGTCTTCAGGACTAGGCATCATCATCGACACAGGAGATCCACTCTTTGGCATGGGATTGGAAGACATGCCTGAGCCACCAGAATAGCCGCTAGAGTATGGCACCACGACTTCGCGAGGCGGCTCTTCCTCACAACGGCGCTTGGAGGCATCTGTCATCGATGAAACAACCAATCCAGTCTCAGACGAAGTGCTTTGTTCCAAAGCCTGAACACGCTCCATAACAGCTTGAAAGGCTCCATGCTGGCGAGCCTTATGCACAAGATTCACACAAACGTTGAAATCTTCCACTGTCCAAGTGGGAGAACTGGGATGCAACTGCTTCGGGAATGCTTGCACGGTCATGCTTGCAAACTTAAGCAAATTAGATGTGCCCTGTTTTGCACACTTCTGAGTCAGGTTCTGGCTGCGGATGGCCAGCACGTATATTGCTCACAATATTCTGCAGAAAAACATACGGCTTCAGTATACCTGTACCTCTTATGCAAACCTATGGCAACATCACAAAACGGCAAAAACTTGATTTTTTTGATCGGGATGTACATGTCCATGACTGCAGGCGACTATACATGCCACATGTCTCTTTCTTGCAACTTGAGATTATTTTGTAGAACTACTTCGGCTGATTAAAACTGTTGGATGACATCACTTCTTCCGGACAACTCTTGGCGGGCTTGGGCTGTTTTTGCATGAACTTACGACGTCGGTCACGTTCCTTGGCTCTAAGCTCAAGCACACTTGCTTCCGGACTGATTTGATATTGGTGAGTCCGAATGCATCCACGCAGCAAATCAAACGCATCGGGGTTTTCTTTTGTTAAGGCATCGGCCAACATTCTATCCGTGGGGATCCAACGTACCACAGCTTGCAGCCTATTTACACTATCCCTTAGAATAATGATATCGATGGCAGTTCTTCTATCCTCAAGTGTGGGGGACGATTTGGAAATCAAGTGATCGAACAAGGACTTACGATCGGTAACGATAAGAACCTTACGACTTGAGATTTGATTCCAATAGCTATGGGGATATCGCTTACCTTCAAGGGCTTCAGCAAGGATTAAAGATACCCATTCACACATGCTCATGGCGCTTGACATGCTTTGGGCTTCAGCGCTCAAAGTTGAGTTCACTACTCGGGGCAAACGATGGCTTCTCCAAAACGCAGGTGACCACTGACACATCTTACCCTCATTGATTGCTTGATCAGTGAAGCTAATAATGAAGCCAGCCTGTGTAGCCCCTGCCTTAGCATTTCCAAAGGCAGCATCGGAGTGACACATGATTGCCAAGCGATCTGGTCTGATCGGACAAAATGTGACCGTTTGGTCTGCATGCTGTTTGGCACGGCGAATTGCTTGATTGACAGCGATCGCATCGGACACTGTCGGGGCTGGAAATGACTGCTGAGAGAATGACACTTGTGTTGCCAAGTCTGGTCGCGATTGAGTACCCAACCAATTCAAACTACCATTGATTGCTCTGAGGCAGCTCACCTCTTTATCCGTCAACAAACTTTCTTTTTCACATTGTCTTTGTTTAGATAAGTGCATAGGACGGATCTTTTGAATGAACTTCTCTTGAGACATTTGTATGGTAAAGTTGACAGGGTCTTGGATATATGACGAGCCACAAAAATCACCATTGCCTTCTCGCCATTTCCTGAACTCAAAAGACTTGCGCAAATGTGCCAAAGCTGCTTCATACTCAGGACCTTGTCCTCCAGTGGCGCAGTCATCAACATGGATACCATATACACCAGACAACTGTTGATTCTTGTCTCGCATGTAGAACAAGCAACAATCAAAACGTGACTGTTCAAACCCAGATTCCAACAACACTTGTTTGAGGCGTTCAAACCAAGCACATGGTGAGTCATTCAAACCATAGACATGACCTAACACTTCTATCAACGCGTCATCTGGTATACCTGGGATTCCACCTGCTGGAAGTCTGGCATATAGAGGCTTGTATTGTTTGGGAAGTTCTCCAGCGGACAAAAAGGCTCCCTTGACATCTCCCAACAACATTTTCCAACGATGGCTTGCTATCAGTTGAAAAACCAAGTTACGGCCAACCTGGGACAAAGTTGGAGATTGCAAATCACCAGCGGCAATTTTCTTCGTCAGGTCGGGATCCAAATGCCCCTGGAGGCACCACCTTGCCTTGACTCGCGGGGCAGTGTCATCTTCTTGTTTTATTGTCATCACAAATCTACTGCCCATGATTCTATGAGAGAAACGTCTACGCACCTGATCGGCCTCAGGGCCCTGTACCACTCGTGCAGCATGCTTACTGAGAATCGTGTTCCATTCCAGTGTTTTTGCTTCATCAACCTTCGCTTGAACTTCAGGAGGATTCTTAGTAACAGGAATTTCCTTAGCTGCTTTCTTAGCCATATATTGTGACAACAAGGCTTCTACAGGAACTTTCTCTTGCCACTGCTTCCACAGCAATTGACGTTCTTGACTGGTCAGTGTAGATTGATGAGATGCCGCAAATTGTTGACATTGATTTGTAACGGCCAACACCTCTACTTCATCAGTCAAACAAGTCTCACATGCTGCATATAGTTGTTCTTGGGTGCGAGCACTCTTGGCTGGCGTTTCCTCTGGAAACCGAGAGGTCTCTACATCACGTTTGACTCCTCGTTCAGCAGGCTCTGACATGACAGTATCGTCAGGTGACGATGGTACATCCAAAACTGGTGATGACACTCCATGCAATGCGTCTCCAACCAGCTGAGGAACTATCTCTTGCATCATTTCAGCAAAATCTTCTTGCACCATCCTACCGGGACGATAGAAACTGGCAGCTACTGACTTTCCATGCACGCGCCTACGGACTGGGCCATAGCTGGACTCTTCCTCGGTTGAGGGACTTGCATTGCTAGGTTCACCAGTGGTGTCAGCAGCACTTCCGGAATGGACAGCATTGGGATTCATTTCCTCTGGCAAAGGTGTTCCAGGACTGTAAGGTTCATCGGAGATCATCGGTGCTACTTCACCCTCTTGACCCAGTTCCATGGCTGATCTAGGCCCAATTGGCAGGGGAGGCGGCAGCTGTTGTGCCGGCGGCTCGCTTGGAGTGTCACTTCCTCCAGGATACGACTCTGGCACCAAGTCAACATACTGTTTACTTGACATATTACCTTGGTCGATCATGGCTTTGATTCCAAGCAATTCTTGATTGGGCATCTCAACCAACTGTTTTTCTGACTCTGTAGATGGACGGACTTGTTCGGGTGCACATCGAAATATTGATCGTTTATGTAAAATAACCAAATTCCTTCCAACACTTCCCAACACGATTGCTGTGCCATGCCATCTACCCTGATTGTCCAAAACCCCTTTTTGCCACTTTTGACTACGCCAGTATGCCACATACATTCCTGGGGAGTAATGCATTGCTGGTCGGTTCCTGGACGCAAGAGCAAGACGCAAGGATCGGTCATCCTGCAGTTCTATGATTGCTTTTCTGGCTGACTGTCTTACCGCTACCTGCTTAGCTACTTGTTCCTCATACAGTGAGGCAGTGGCTGGAATCAATTCCAACGGCTCATCAAGCAGGTTCTCAGGGATTGCAGGGTTCTTACCAAACACATGTTGAGCTGGGGTCATGCCATACACCTGGATTAACTGATTTTTACAATGAGCTGCATTTACACAATCAGTCCATTCCTTTTGGTTTTCTGGGCTGCGGTCATTCAGAATTTTGTCCAAGATACGGTTAAACCAACCCCCATGAACCTCAACTTTCCCCAACTGCCAGTGAGCGTCAGCAGCAGTGACTTGAATTGCAGCACCTTGTAACTCCAGCGGAACCGTCAGACCATCAACAATGTTTGGTCGGGCTGGATCAACTATGATTTCTTTTGGCATTCCCGCCCAGGACACCCATCGTTCCATAAAAGTCTTCCCAATAAGTTCAGAGGTTTCTCGTTGATATAGTGGCACCATCAGTTGCAGGCTACTACCATAATCCACGATGTTCAGGGCAGGAATCTTTTGGTTGGTCTTCCAGCCTGTGAGATACTTTACATCCAATCCAACCTTTGCGTTGAATTCTGTGACTCTTTGAGTCTGGGTCGGCAGAGCAGGCTTTGGGGCTGCTTGTGATCGGCAATGTTCACAGTCAAAACTTCGAGCTAACTGAATAGCCTGGTCAAATGCACCACCATGTTTCAATATGCGAACCATCTGGTTGTTTGGCGGATGCCCCAAATTGGTATGCAGTTTTCGGAGGCTTGTTTGAAGTTTTTCAGCATCATCTCCAGACAACTCGGCGACTCGAGACGCAGCAAGACATTCGGCTGAATCGTCGTGTTCGACGACATGAACTGGTTTACCGTACCCCGAAAACGAGACTCTCAGGACGGCTTTCACAAAAGCAACTGGGTACCTACTGGCAAACTTGCTTACTGACCCTACGGCGGGATGATTACCAGCAATGACACAATGATTAACATGTCGGGGTGCTGGCTACCAGGACACGTCTTGGCCAAGCATTTCATGTCGGCATGAGACACTTTCAGTCGTGTGGGTTTTCGGATCAGCTCATCACCTGGAATGCGCATGCCGTATCGGCACATGTGCAGGTCAACTGTGAACAACTTGTTGTCAAACCGACTCGACATGTTCCATGCTACAGAATCTTTGGGATGTTCAAACAGAATTCTACCACCGTGTTTCAGCTGTTCATCCATCAACTGGCCACAAAACATGATAAACACTCGTGTCATGAGTTCACATGCCTGACGATCGGAAGAGGACATCTTATCTTTATTCAAGTGGAACCATCCTCCTGCCCATGTGCATGGGGGGCAGCAAACAAGTAATTCTGGTGGAGTTTCACGAACGATCTTTCTCATGGCGTTCCTATCTTCTTGTTTATGAAAATCCCAACCAGTTGACAAGTCTGCAGATAGGCATGTCAAACCATGTTTGGCAGCTTCCAAACCAAAACGGGGTGGTGAAAACACTTCGATGATGTCATATGGCCTTGACTTGGCCTGCAGAGGAATTCCTTGGATCTGTGCAGCAAGCTGGCGGCTCTGCTTTGGTGTCCACTGCATCAGGAGCGCCTCATTTTCATGCAGAGATTCATTCAATGACTCGACATCAACATCCGGACGAAATTGGAACACAGTGCGACCGGTCCATGTACTGGCATTTGACTTACCCCTTATTCGGTTATCATCCCATTTATCACACTCTTGAGTCACTAAATCCCCATTATCCCACACCTTATGTGTACATCTATTCGTGGATAAGGACGACAAGGGGACAGGACATTGGCTGTGATCAGGGCGAAAGGCAGCAGATCTACTCTTGACATGGTGACGGATGACAATCTTCTCACTCTTCCTAACTTCCCAGAAATCTACCTTCTTCCTACGGCTACGGCTGATTTGAACCGAGGAGCATGGCAACGCAGGTGTTTCGGCGTTGGAGGAAACACTCGGGCTCTCGATCACTTCACTGGGAAACTCCGTCACACTGATGACATGTTGACCTGCTTCATTGCAGCTCAGGGGCACCTCTACTGGACCTTGGCGAGAACTTGCAAACAGCTGCAGTGAGTCACGACCAAAATCTACTTTGGCGTCCAACTTCTTCAGGGCCGGGCGAGACAACAACAAGGGCGCATCTCCCTTGACTATGGCAGCACGTACAATACCCCTCCTAGAGGCAATGCAAACTGGCATCTCAACTACCCGCTTGGAAACTTCTCGTTCACCGTTTCCATACCTGAAAACATTAGTCTCACTATGTTCGGCAGCTTGTTGAATCTGCTTTCGATTCCAGATCTCTTGAAAAGAGGCAAGAGTATTTTCACCGATCAACGTACGGCCACACCCACTGTCTAGTACTGCATAGCCAGGGCTACTCACCAGTAAAACCTCAGTCGATGAAATTCCAGCAGTACACACAAAGTGTTCATCTTGTCCTAGAAGTTCAACGGATCCTGCAGCTGACTCCTTGTGTGAATGGCCACTTTTGCTACCGGCACCCTTACCACCAGACTTTCCAGAACCAGCAGCTCTCGCGTTTTTGCAATCTTTGGCAAAATGCCCCAATTGATTACATCGCCAGCACTTGGAACGCTTCTTGATCTCTTCAATGTCCACTCGGAATGACTTCCGAACATCTTGAGCAGCGGAGAACCTACGATTTTTCTGAAGACGGCTGATCTCTGCCCTCTTCTCCTTCCATGTTGCAGCCAAGACCTCTTTGGCCTCTTCTTCATCAAGCTCTGCACTATCGGTCAAATCTTCCTGAGCTTCAAGGCCTAGCTCAGAAAGCAGCACATCAAACTCATCGGGCTCAACTTCACCTGGGGGACCTTCATCAAGAGGAGCATGACTATCTACCATGTGGGCACCATATGATCGTTTCTTAGGAACTGTATAGTCAGGAAAGCACGACCTCATGGCTTGGGACACCTCAGCGACCTTCAAGCTTCCTTGACAACATGCTAGCACCACAGCTCGCTCAGAATCGCTCATGCCACTACAGTTCAGCATGATCCAGCCTTTGGCCTCATCTGGAAAAGTGACGCCAGATTTTCGTGAGCATCGGTTGAACACTTCTTGTGCTCGGGCACACCATTGTCTCAACTGTTCTCCCTCACGGGCTTTCAGTGCAAACACTTCTGCCACATTTTCACCGATTTGATCTTCACGATCTTTTTCAGGCCAACGTCTATCCAGGAGGTCAAAAATGACCTTCTCCCCTCCCGCCTTGTGGTACTCTTCCTCCTTCAGGTGCTCAACCACCTCCAGGGCAGGCCCCTGGAGGAGCGTCCACAGGAATGATCCTCGTGAATCCTCAGCCAGCTTGTCCATCGTACGCATCCTATTGACTGCCCACAATTTCCACCGGCGATATTCCCTCCAGTCACAGTCCTCACCCGAAAAGTATCGGAGTGAGGCCCCCAATTCACCCATGGCTCTGATCTTCCGCGATCCGTGTCACCTGACACTCGCACAGCACTCACCGACCTACCAAGGCGCGGTGAAAAACGCCTGGAGCACTATTGGCTCCGCTACCAATGTTGGTAGCGGGCCGCACACCCCGAGCGGCCTTTTCGCTCCACATGGGCCAAAAGTCCCTGCGACATGTTCCACCCTTCGACCTGGCTCTGATCTTACATATATATATGAGATATATGATTTGTTTATATTTATATTATACATATTATATATAATATATATATATATATATTAAATATATATATTAAATATATATATATATATATATATATCTTGATATATTCCACAACATGTTGCTGTTGCTAAAGTTGGACATTCCACTTACTGGACATTCCGCCTACTGACTCATAGCTATCCGACGCCAGGTCATATTGTGGCGTATAGCGCCGAAACGGACACCTACCTGGTGGCCTACTCGGGAAGTGAACCTGTTATCTCCTGGGAACAGGCGACGTCAGAGATGTCACGTGGGGGGAAACCCCCAAGGCTGCCATAAAAATGCCATCCTAACTTGGGGATGGTTGAAATATGTTGAAATATGTTGAAATTGTAGCCATAAAAAATGAATGGTGATGGTTTTATGACTTGGGGATGGTTAAGTCATGGGGGTCCCCAAGTCACCATGGGTTTCAATACTAAGTCATGGTCATTCATGACTTGGATGATTTGGGGAGTAGCCACATGACTTAGGAAGCCTCCATATTAGTTTATATGGTTTGTCCAAAAATAGTGCATTACATGAATTTACCATCAATTTGAGGTTTCAAAACATGGGATTTGGGGGTGTTCTATTGTTGGATAGACCCGTTTAGCAAAGAAACATCAATCCCCCTGAGAAAACATCCAGTATCATCCAGTTGATTTAAAGTCATTATACCACATGTACCTGGATTGTAGTTTTAGATATACATATACGTGTATATATATATATACACACTATTTGGGAAGAGGATCCCTGGTAGCCTGACAGGAGAGGCGGAAAAGAACTGCAGCCATGAGCTGGGAAGCACAGATTTCATGGTTTCTTCGTTACCAAGTTCCTTATACTGCCCATATATATATATATATATATATATGTATATAATATATATAATATATTGTTTCAGATGTGGGCGTTTAATGGGGTGATTCACAATGTGAAACATCACAAAAGTTGAATGCCAAACTCTCTTGTGCTTAAACCAATCCACCCGCCCCATCTCCGATCGCAACCTGTGCTTGTGTGTGCCCAACCGGGAAGGAGAAGGCACAGGTTGCGGATCATAGTTGACAGTTTCCAGCCAACTGGAAAGATCCACCATGTTTAATATTGTGTAATGGGTAAATCAACGATTTCTATGGCCATTTTCAATAGTTATGTTTGTCATAGAATTGGATGATGGGAAAATTTTAACGGGAAACCCCATTCAATTTGATGGTAATTTTACCATGATTTCCGGTTAAGATGTTCCCTTAAACCATTTTTTTTTGGGTTCTTCAATGTCCTTCACAAGTTTGGCCTGTCATCCATGTAAAAGTCCCAAAGAGCTTAGCATGGCAGACAATCCCACGAGGACATGTGTGGAAGCCTTGGTCCCAAGGCGGAAAAAAAATCTTGCCAATTGAGGGAGATACCCAACTGGTTTTGGCAGAATGATATGAAATCATATGAACTTCAAATGGTGATTCACTTAGCCAGCAGGGATTCTTTATGCGGCAATCCTTCAAATTGTGCCTCTTGGCCACTCCACTGTTGCTGAATCTACATGGTACTTGATGTTGCACTGCCCCCTGTGGCCTCGTTTCTTGTCCAAGCCACCCAAGTCTTAGATCTGAAGGTCACCACATGTCCACGGTGAGATCGGCACGCCAAGGACATAATCCGTCACTGGCTGGAAAGAGCCGGTTTTCCTTCCTGTCTCCACCCGCTCACATGGCCCCAGGTTCGGCTGGGTTCTTGATGTTGCCACCGGGAGAGCTGGAGATACGCTTTTTTCATGGTTTTTTTTTCCACTGGTAAAATGCCTCAGAGCTCCTCCAGCTCAGATTTCAATAGATTGATCCAAACTCAGATTTCAATAGATTGATATATATATATATGTATATATAGAGATATTGATATAAGGCTACTTCTGTTTGTAATTCAACAACCATTCAACGAATTTTTCCTTTCATTCTGATCTTCTTTGTGTTGGTCATGCCATTCTATCAAGGAATAACCGATCCCCATTCTCACAATGAATAGGTGGTATGGTTACCATTCCCGGTCATGGGTGGTTTATGACACTGTTTTTTCCACATTATACCCAGAAACGCCCTTTCTTCAAAGGGGACCTGATGATAGTCATCTCGCTAAATTGAAGAATATAATATAAGAATATTAGATGTCGCCTTGCCCACTGCCAGCTGTGTTGATTTTGTTCAATTTCGATGGGAGCTTTCTAAAGATGAGGTCGCAGTGAAAACAAGATACACAAGGAGAAATGAATTTGGAGACATGATTGTCACATCAACTATTTTTGGCTAGTCAAAAGAATCCAAGTGTTAGATGAATCAGTAGAAGGTCTTGAAAACTTCAAGAACATCAATTAACATGACAGAAAATGTTATAAAAAAAGTCTGGCCAAACTACGATTTAATTTAAAGCCTGATGACTGCAGTGTGGGTCGGTGCCTGTTCCCTTCAGTTCCATTCTTCTCATTTTCCGAGGACACCATGGCTTTTCCGCGTCTTTTTGGAGCTTACCCCGGGGTAGGCAGAGCTTGGATTCAAGGCCATTGATGACTTTATATGATTTTCATGTTCCATTAACTAATTGATCATATTTGATCATCAGAGTCCCATTAACTATAATGTTTACCCCGGATTAATAAACCCCCCCCCCTATAGGTCAACTAGGTCAACAAGGTCCAGTGAGGAGGTCCAAAAACCGAACCCCCCAAATAATGTGACCATTCATTCATCCATAAACGATTATTATAAGATTCCTATGGGAAAAGATTGGAAAACCTATGGTAAACAATCAAATTCCTATGGAAACATTAGAAAATTAATGATAAACCATCAGATTCCTATGAGAAAAGGTAAGAAAACCTATGGTAAACCATCAGATCCCTATGGGTTTCTCATAGGAATCTGATGGTTTATCATAGGTTTTCTGATCTTTTCTCATAGGAATCTGATGGTTTATCATAGGTTTTCTGATCTTTTCTCATAGGAATCTGATGGTTTATCATAGGTTTTCTCATCTTTTCTCATAGGAATCTGATGGTTTATCATAGGTTTTCTCATCTTTTCTCATAGGAATCTGATGGTTTATCATAGGTTTTCTCATCTTTTCTCATAGGAATCTGATGGTTTATCATAGGTTTTCTCATCTTTTCTCATAGGAATCTGATGGTTTATCATAGGTTTTCTCATCTTTTCTCATAGGAATCTGATGGTTTATCATAGGTTTTCTCATCTTTTCTCATAGGAATCTGATGGGTTATCATAGGTTTTCTCATCTTTTCTCATAGGAATCTGATGGTTTATCATAGGTTTTCTCATCTTTTCTCATAGGAATCTGATGGTTTATCATAGGTTTTCTCATCTTTTCTCATAGGAATCTGATGGTTTATCATAGGTTTTCTCATCTTTTCTCATAGGAATCTGATGGTTTATCATAGGTTTTCTCATCTTTTCTCATAGGAATCTGATGGTTTATCATAGGTTTTCTCATCTTTTCTCATAGGAATCTGATGGTTTATCATAGGTTTTCTCATCTTATCTCATAGGAATCTGATGGTTTATCATAGGTTTTCTCATCTTTTCTCATAGGAATCTGGGGGTAGTGTTCCATTATTAGGGGGGGAAATCAGCACGTAGAGGACTTTAGTATTGCCCAAAAATTTCCGGTGAAAAGGGGTATGATTAATTTGGGGGTTTTATTAATCCTAACCCAACATTAATGTGGTTAAAACAATGTCATAAACCATCTCCATGACTGGGAATGGTAACCAGACCACCTATTTATGGTGACTTGGGGGATGGTTTATACTTGTTTTAACCACATTATTATGGTTCATTGTGGTTCATTTTAGTTCAATTTTGGTTTTCTGTTTTCCTTTCTATAATTCAGGGGCTGCCTCTCCACCACAATTTTTACGAATGGTCCCAAGGGCCCTGGCCCTTTGGTGTCCCCCAAAAGGACCAACTCCGTTCGCCGCCATGGCGCTGGTGCCGCTGGCGCCCTACGCCTACGCGGCCTACGCCCGTCATGCGATGCGTTCGCGGAGCTCGCAGTCTGCTCGGGCTGCTGTTTCTGGCCTCGTTGCTCCTGTTGGTCTGGAACGGTGCCTGCGTCTTCAACGTCTGCTGCCCTTAATGCCACAAAAAGAAGGGAATCAACATAGCTATGGATCAATACCTATACATACCATTTTTAGGGTGATGAACATTTATTTACCAGCTATTTTGATGTTCACCAGGGGGATAGGGTTTTGACCCATCCCAACATGTTTTCATCATCCCAAAATAGGGATAAAATAGCGGTATTTCCCGCAAAAACCGAAGAATTTTACACTCAAATTGGGGATGGTAAAATTGGGTTGACCAGGAGAAAATGACACTGAGATATTGGTTTTGTTTTTGTTCCTACCAAAACTGACAATGTCGTACAGTCCGAATTGAAGGGTTCATAATCCCAGAATTAGTTTGAGGGAAAGTAATTATACAGGAAGCTTCTATTGGTTTCATGGTAAACCCATCCAGTGATCATATCTGTCGTTCTGGGATGTGGTTCAAAAGCCTGGAAGCTGCAGACGTCTTGACCTAAGACATTCCCGAAGGCCCACGACAATTTATTCAGTTTCTCACTGGGGCTACAACTCCGAATGACTGATATATTAAGCCCGGCTGAATCAACCCCTTCACTAATGTAGCATTTGTAAAGGGACATATGTGCATTTTGGGAACCCATCTGAACAAATTGGTGGTTGATGAATCCGAAGTTATGATTTGAGCGAAAATTGAAACATGGCGCGCCCAGCCTGTTGTCAGCACCAGCCCATCCCAGGCGTGGTTAGCGAAAGAAATCTCTCAGCATGGATTTCTCCCCGCACTGCCGGTTTGACGGATCCGGACCAGTCCAAAACGTCGGCTTCTTCAGCAATGTGGGTCCAAAAAAGGAAGACTGCCCGAGTTCTGAGAAGTTACATGGGAAGAATGATGACAAACCAGTCAACTTACCATCTGGCTATTTCACATAGCCATGGAAAGATCCACCATTTGTTTAGTTCGGTAAACCATCTATTTCTATGGGCCATCTATACCATGGCTATGTTAGTCATAGCCAGAGGGTAGAAGTTCAGCACAAAAATGTGGGGATCAGCGGCCAGTCATGCAGCAAGATGCCAGCGGTTTCGCAAGCTGATGGATCTGACAGCAGGTTAAAGAAGAAAGCAAGAAATTATTGCCTACCCCATAGGATCCATGTATGGTATATTATAAATGGGCTAACGCCCTGGTGCCGCCGACCCCCTTTTCAGGGGGGAGCGGCGGGGAAATGTCAAAACGGCCCACATGTGCAGTAGTCCAAACGTGCAAATGTTATAGAGTTTTTGAAGGTCTAGGTAGCGTAAACATAGATTGTGGGACAATGAATCGAATGTATTGATATCAGGGATTTCCGTGGCTGTTCATGGAATGTTGTTTTCATATTTTGGGGATGGTGTGTCTTGCCTCCCTTGCGTAAGACGTAGTCTTCGCAAGGAAAAGGCGCACCAAAAGTATGCATCAAAACAACATTCAATAAACAGACACGGAAATGAGGGTTTTTAAGGGTTTTAAGCGTTTAAGGGCTGGCAAACGGCAGGCTTGGACGCCCATAAGAAGCCATTGATGTGTGGCCTTGGGGTGCCTGTTGGCTGCAGGATGAAGCATGGCAAGCGGCAGGCTTGGACCCCCATGACGGGTTGTAAGGGTTTTAAGCCTTTTGAGGGTTTTTAAGGGTTTTAAGCGTTTAAGGGCTGGCAAACGGCAGGCTTGGACGCCCATAAGAAGCCATTGATGTGTGGCCTTGGGGTGCCTGTTGGATGCAGGATGAAGCATGGCAAACGGCAGGCTTGGACCCCCATGACGGGCCTTTTGAGGGTTTTTAAGGGTTTTAAGGGTTTAAGGGCTGGCAAACGGCAGGCTTGGACGCCCATAAGAAGCCATTGATGTGTGGCCTTGGGGTGCCTGTTGGCTGCAGGATGAAGCATGGCAAACGGCAGGCTTGGACCCCCATTGTAAGGGTTTTAAGCCTTTTGTAAGGGCTTTTAAGGGTTTTAAGGGATTTAAGGGTTTAAGGGCTGGCAAACGGCAGTCTTGGACGCCCATAAGAAGCCATTGATGTGTGGCCTTGGGGTGCCTGTTGGCTGCAGGATGAAGCATGGCAAACGGCAGGCTTGGGACCCCTGGCAAACGGCAGGCTTGGACGCCCATAAGAAGCCATTGATGTGTGGCCTTGGGGTGCCTGTTGGCTGCAGGATGAAGCATGGCAAACGGCAGGCTTGGACCCCCATGACAGGTTGTAAGGGTTTTAAGCCGTTTGATGGTTTTTAAGGGTTTTAAGCGTTTAAGGGCTGGCAAACGGCAGGCTTGGACGCCCATAAGAAGCCATTGATGTGTGGCCTTGGGGTGCCGGTTGGCTGCAGGATGAAGCATGGCAAACGGCAGGCTTAGACCCCCATGACGGGTTGTAAGGGACGCCCATAAGAAGCCATTGATGTGTGGCCTTGGGGTGCCTGCTGGCTGCAGGATGAAGCATGGCAAACGGCAGGCTTGGACCCCCATGACGGGTTGTAAGGGTTTTAAGCCTTTTGAGGGTTTTTAAGGGTTTTAAGGGTTTAAGGGCTGGCAAACGGCAGGCTTGGACGCCCATAAGAAGCCATTGATGTGTGGCCTTGGGGTGCCGGTTGGCTGCAGGATGAAGCATGGCAAACGGCAGGCTTGGAGCCCCATGACGGGTTGTAAGGGTTTTAAGCCTTTTGATGGTTTTTAAAGGTTTTAAGGGTTTAAGGGCTGGCAAACGGCAGGCTTGGACGCCCATAAGAAGCCATTGATGTGTGGCCTTGGGGTGCCTGTTGGGTTTTGATAGTTTTTAAGGGTTTTAAGGGTTTAAGGGCTGGCAAACGGCAGGCTTGGACGCCCAAAAGAAGCCATTGATGTGTGGCCTTGAGGTGCCTGTTGGCTGCAGGATGAAGCATGGCAAACGGCAGGCTTGGACCCCCACAGGCTTGGACGCCCATAAGAAGCCATTGATGTGTGGCCTTGGGGTGCCTGTTGGCTGCAGGATGAAGCATGGCAAACGGCAGGCTTGGACCCCCATGACGGGTTGTAAGGGTTTTAAGCCTTTTGAGGGTTTTTAAGGGTTTTAAAGGTTTTAAGGGTTTTAAGGGTTTAAGGGCTGGCAAACGGCAGGCTTGGACGCCCATAAGAAGCCATTGATGTGTGGCCTTGGGGTGCCTGTTGGCTGCAGGATGAAGCATGGCAAACGGCAGGCTTGGACCCCCATGACGGGTTGTAAGGGTTTTAAGCCTTTTGAGGGTTTTTAAGGGTTTTAAGGGTTTAAGGGCTGGCAAACGGCAGGCTTGGACGCCCATAAGAAGCCATTGATGTGTGGCCTTGGGGTGCCTGTTGGCTGCAGGATGAAGCATGGCAAACGGCAGGCTTGGACCCCCATGACAGGTTGTAAGGGTTTTAAGCCTTTTGAGGGTTTTTAAGGGTTTTAAGGGTTTTAGGGGTTTAAGGGCTGGCAAACGGCAGGGTGGGACGCCCAGAAGAAGCCATTGATGTGTGGCCTTGGGGTGCCTGTTGGCTGCAGGATGAAGCATGGCAAACGGCAGGCTTGGACCCCCATGACGGGTTGTAAGGGTTTTAAGCCTTTTGAGGGTTTTTAAGGGTTTTAAGCGTTTAAGGGCTGGCAAACGGCAGGCTTGGACGCCCATAAGAAGCCATTGATGTGTGGCCTTGGGGTGCCTGTTGGCTGCAGGATGAAGCATGGCAAACGGCAGGCTTGGACCCCCATGACGGGTTGTAAGGGTTTTAAGCCTTTTGAGGGTTTTTAAGGGTTTAAGGGTTTAAGGGGAAGCATGGCAAACGGCAGGCTTGGACCCCCATGACGGGTTGTAAGGGTTTTGAGGGTTTTTAAGGGTTTAAGGGCTGGCAAACGGCAGGCTTGGACGCCCATAAGAAGCCATTGATGTGTGGCCTTGGGGTGCCTGTTGGCTGCAGGATGAAGCATGGCAAACGGCAGGCTTGGACCCCCATGACGGGTTGTAAGGGTTTTAAGCCTTTTGAGGGTTTTTAAGGGTTTTAAGGGTTTTAAGGGTTTAAGGGCTGGCAAACGGCAGGCTTGCACGCCCATAAGAAGCCATTGATGTGTGTGGCCTTGGGGTGCCTGTTGGCTGCAGGATGAAGCATGCCAAGGGAATGTTTAAGCGATGGCTTTTAAGGGCTGGCAAGCGGCCTTGGAAAGCTAAGAAGGAGAAGTTCCACACCTGCGGTGGTCCCAGGCGCCGCCCCTGCCTTGGCCAAGGCCGGGGTCGGCGGATATGCTATCATTGGGGATATATTGATGGTAAATGTTACCATATATAGCATACATGGATCCTATGGGTACTAGATGATTGGCAAGTTCGGTAACTTCATGCATATGTAGAGGTTTCCTAAAATTGGGGTACCCCAAATCATCCAAAATTAACCATTTTAGTATTGAAACCAAATTAAACCATGTTAGTATTGAAACCCATGGTGCCTTGGGGATCCCTATTTCAAGAAACCCCCATATCACTGATTGTGAATTGTGATGAATATTGCACACATTCGGAACACAGGTATCCATTTTGGTTTTAGAAGATGATCCTAAATGATGGTTATCCAATTTGGGTCCTCATTTGATTATGATAATACACTATACTATACTATACTATGCTATGCTATACTATGCTATGCTATGCTATACTATACTATACTGTACTATATTATTATACGATACTATACTATACTATACTATACTATACTATACTATACTATACTACGCTATGCTGTGCTATCCTATACTATGCTATGCTATACTATATTATACTATACTATACTATACTATGCTATACTATACTATACTATGCTATACTATACTATGCTATATACTATGCTATACTATATTATACTATACTATACTATATTATACTATACTAATACTAATACTAATACTAATACTAATACTAATACTAATACTAATACTAGTACTAATACTAATACTAATACTAGTACTATACTATACTATACGATATATTGGATATACTATACTATACGGTTATTATTATACTCTTTTCTTGGGTAATACTATACTATTATACTCTCCAATTTATTGGAGATTATCCTTCATCATGGTTATCCAAATATATCCAAAGGATATCACCGGAAGGGATAGCACGCATCCCTAAGCCCCGCACGTCTCCAAACTATATTCTATGTTGGGATATAGATTTAGATAAATAATTACCGTTTTTTTGGTCCTTCAGTTTGAGCTGGTCGCATTTTTTGTATTCTAACGATGTTCTATGATATCCCTAGTTTCCTAAGTTTCCTTGCAATTTCTTCCGCATATCATCTTTGAAACAACATGACATCTTTAGTGAATACCTCTGATCAATAGAAACTCAAGATCTACTCATACCTAAATCCACTTTACTTACATAAGATCCATACTTAGAAACGATGATCTTCAAATCGGAATTTGGATGTTTTCTACATGGACCCAGTCTTTCCCTGTTTTTCTCACATTTCTCAGTGCATCTGAGGTCCAAAGTCGTTGAGTTGGACCCGGTCTTAGCGCCTGCGCCGCCACCTTCTGTGGCCTCCGCAAGAAATCCCCTGGAGGCACCATGGGACATTTCCCAGAAATAGAGTGGTGATTCATATAGTGGTTAATAGTGGTTAATATAATGCTGGCTAATATATATGATTTAACCACTATTATATGCTGGATAATATATATATGATTATATGGTGCTTCAATGGTGGTTAAACCAACCGTTGGTTTATATAGCTGGAAAAGACATATATATCAATTATTTTTTTCAGCTTGCGCCATGTTTGATTACGGGAAGGTCAATGGGAGAGACTTTCCAGGGTTTCTATGGGTTTCTAAAAGTTTCTATAGTTCCTTGCGGCCATTTCTGGTGAGGTTAGGGATGATTGTTTCTTCTTGGGTTTACCACTTAGTTTTAGGATGCAGATTTTTTTTTCCAGTATGGTTGTATCCAACGAGAATAGGAGTATCAAACCAAACATAAGGGGTACTATACTGGGGATAGTTGACGAAAAATTGAGGATTCAATGACGTTTTAACCAACCAACATGGTGATCGAATTTGATCGAAATGGATTTCGTGGGATTTCAAATATTTCATAGTGATTTACACAATCGACAAGATATTTTTTGGGTTTGTCCAAGAATATTGGATTTCTCCCTCAAGTTACAGCCATGTAAATACCGAGAGAAAATGTAGTCTTAAACAAGTGGATGGAACGTGGTACCCCTGCTCCAGACCAACCCACATAGCCATCGGAAGATTACATTTTGATAATCACTAATGCCAAGTTCGTATTAATAACCCCCCCCCGAAGGTCAGAGTCCCCCCCAATTAAAAAACTAGGGCTTGTCAAAAAAAAACAATGAGTCAAAATTTCTCTTCTCAGTGGCAGCCTCCCTCCCAATAGGGTGAAATGGTGAGATTGGGCATGGGACATCACTTCAAGACATGACTTGTTCATACTTTTTCAACAATAAAAAACTAGTTCAACCATTTAACAATAACTATATCCTGACTACCACAAAATTAGGATTTCTGAGCAGGGTGTTTTTGGATAGGCGGGGTCGCACATGTTTATTGATAGGGAGGGACCAACCCAAAGTAGTATTGCAAAGCATTTTTTGGAATGTGGGTGTTGATTAGTTTGGGCTGCTTATTAATATATGAACTTAACATTACATGCCAAATTCACATAGCCATCCTAAAATGGAGGTACTGTACCATATAAGGCCATATTTTGTGGGGATATTCCCTGAAAATTTCCAATCAATCGGTCCCTGAGTCATTCCCATTGACCTAATGGGATATCATCTATACCATCTATATAATCTATATATCATCTATATATATCATCTATATCATCTATATCATCTATATCATCTAAATCATCTATATATCATCTATATATCATCTATATATCATCTATATATCATCTATATCATCTATATCATCTATAAGTTGGGATATCTCTACATTTAAATGTGTGATATATCTATGGCTCCCTCCTTCGATCCTCTTCGATCGTCTTCGACGTTACGACGCAACGTCGCAGGAGACCGGTTCCGCGGCGTCCTTCGTTCGGAACGACGCTTGGAGTGCGACAATGGCCCGATCGGTATCTCAAACTCGGTGCAAAATGCTGATTTACCCTCTGGTAATGGCGACTTCATCCATGACCTTGCCAGGTGCCGATTCCAGTCGGGGATCCCAAATCCAAAGGTTTATCCATGTTCATCCGATGATTACCCAACCTGGTTATGACTAACATAGCCATGGTATAGATGGCCCATAGAAATAGATAGTTTACCGAACTAAAAAATGGTGGATCTTTCCATGGCTATGTTAAATAGCCGGATGGTAAACAAGAATAATATGGGAAACTTTATGGGAATACATGGGAATGTGAAACCATTGGTGAATTTTCCCATTGTTGGTGATTTACCTGGTTATACATGGGAATGTAATGTGGATATATCGGGATATATAACCATATATAACCAACAACAATGAAACATGGGTATCCCTAAATCCATGTCATCGCTTTCCCTGTTGCCATTTTTGAGCCGACCCCACTTTAAGACTCACCCAATGGTCCCATGTCGTTTTTGCAACCAAACTAAACAGCTAATTATATCTAATATATGAAAGGACAAATGCTCTGGGTCGAGTACCCTCTGGTAAACTAACATAACTATGGAAAATCACCATTTTTGATGGGTAAATCCACCATAAATTGCCATTTTCCATAGCTACGTTAGTTTACCAGAGGGTAGGTTTCCTGATCAACTTCCCGTGTGGCTGTCCCTGCTTTTGCTTTTCCGTAACACGAGGTCTGGATCCGTCAAAAGAAATTGATCGAATCGCAAAACAGCAAAACTGGAACCTAAATTGGAGGTGCCTACATATACCCTCTGGTAATGACTAACATAGCTGTTGAAAATGACCATAGAAATAGTGGATTTATCCATTGAAAATGGTGATTTTCCATAGTTACGTTAGTTTACCAGAGGGTAAAATCTATTTAAGTGCTAAAATTCATTGGATATACGACATACTCCCGATTTCAATGGCTTCATATGGTTAACCGTAGCTGAGCTCAGGAATCAAAACCCGCAACATTTCGCCTGGGTGGCTGGGGCCTCAGTCTCCCTGGGATCAAAATTTCTCGTTTTGGGGTCCCCCAAAAAAGATGGGAAAACATGAAACAACCATGCAGGATGGTATGTGTTTTCTTTATTCGCAGTCATTTGCATTTTAGTTTAAACATGATTGAAGTTGTGGATTGAGGTTGGCGCAACTGACAAATCAAACCAAAATCAATCAAAAAATGACCCTGGTTAGAAGGTGAAGGTGTTGTAGCCCCTGAGAACACAGGGCTGTAGCAACCTGTGGCAGCATCAATTTCAAATTTCTCCGAAGTCACCCCAAACAAGGAGGCTGAAGTTTTGAAAAGCAGCACCAGCATCTGTCATATTCCGTGAATTCTGTCCTATTCTTATTGATCACATCCTTTCTATCCCATGTTTGTTGGCCAAATCCCCACAGAAATTGGTTGCAAGTTTGCATAACATTGAGTTGGTGAAAAACTTCCATGGAATCCCCAAGGGGAATTTCCTCTACATGCTTGGGGTTAACCCCCCCAAAAAATTCCTTTTTTTGAACCAAGGGGAGCTTTGTTTCCCCACCCAGGTGATGGAGGTTGTGCTGAAGGCTTTCACCTGGTGACGGATGAAGAATCCTGTCAGGTCGGAGCCAAGTTCTTCAAGAAGCCATTCGTGCCCTGCCGCGATTTGCGAACGCTGGATGGTGCTGGATGTGATGTGACCCATAGGATCCATGTATGGTATATATGCTAACATTGGGGATATATTGATGGTAAATGTTACCATATATAGCAGCACCATGGATCCTATGGGTGATGAAAAAGAGCATCCACTAAGCCAATTGATATCTATGCAGAAAAGCATAGAAAAGCCCTTACCCATGACGGATCCATGGTGCTGGTATATATATGCTAACATAAAGGGGGTATATTGATGGGATCCATGGCACACCATATATAGCAGCACCATGGATCCTGTGGGTTAAGGTTGATGTAGTGGGTAATACGCTTTCTTGGGATAAACGGCACCAGGTCTATCAACGGCTAGATGTTTCAGGCCAAAATTGGAAGGCCAAAAACTCTCCCCGTTCGAAGGCAAATGTAGTTTGTTAATGTTTGTTACAGATCGAATTCAGATCGAATACGATCATGTTGCGATTGTGTCCATGTTTTGTTCTTGTTTATTTTGCAGTTCATGAATTGTTACAACTGGAGCCAAGTTATGTGGCTCAATGATGTTCAATGTTTATCATCGACCAATGGGCCCTCTTGACAAAAAAACAGAGGATGAACATCCGTGAAAGCGGAGCCATTTTGTTGGATTCAGCAGCCCTTATCCAGGCAATCATGTAGCATCATCTAAATCATCTCTCATTTCCAAAAAAAAATGAAATTCCATGTTTCATCAAGTTTCCAGTTTTCCCATGTTTTCCCAGCTGAAACAGATTGCTTCGTTTTTCACGTGGAGGTTTCAGGAATTTCAGGTCGTAAGTCTTGGATTCAGGCTGGCTCCATGGACGCTGGCCATGAGCCAGCGGGTTGCCTTCTGCGGAAAGCAGACAACGATGTGACGCGCTGGCATCAAAGTTTTTTTGCAGACCCCTTACCCTCCGGTGAACTAACATAGCAATGGAAAATGGCCATTTATAGTGGATTTTCCCAATAAAAATTGTGATTTTCCATTGCCATGTTAGTTCACCAGAGGGTAAACCCAGGCCAAATTCAACATAGTGACATAGTGTAGATTCGAGTTTGGCAATAGTTGATGAAAGCGGAATTCATCTGATTTTGGGGAAATCATTCTCATGGCTCGAGTTTGGTTCACTGTCCGGCTTCTTTGGGGTTATCCAGGTATCCAGGCCTGCTTGATTACATCATATTACATCTATGATGTATAGTCACATATTACATATTAAAATAATCTAAAATATACATGATATACATTGATATTATTATCATGATAAGCATTATATTGAACATTGTTGAATTTTGTTGCAGTTCTTGAAATGGGATCAGTTTTACAGTTCTACCCAAACATGTCATGATTATTGGCTGTACCTTCTTGGCTGGTTGCTTATCTCCCTATCATTGCGCACTGTTGAAAAATTCTTTGATCAACTAGCTAGTTCCTTTTGTCCAAGGTTCAAAAGACATGCCCAGCACAGTATGCCTCAAATTTTGCCCTCTTCAACTGTGATGTGGCACGAGAGAACCCCCTCCTGGACGCTCAAAGATGGCAGGTGATCTTCAACCTGGCTGAGAGCAGCAAGCCCGGCAGCCGTCAACGGCAGCAGCTTTGCTTCGACCGGCCACCGGGGAAGCTGCCCAGCCGGCCCAGCGCTCCCAGGGCTGGCCCCCAACCCCGTGGTTCAACGGTGCCCAGCGTGCCCAGCGGGACGGCCCTGGTTTCAGAGATTGGGAACCTGACCATGGCGCCCAGCTGCGGCGAAGTCGAGGGTGCCGTTCAAATCCGTCACCCCAATCGGTGTCAGATTGCTGCGGCGGCCTATGGGAAGAAATACATTGGGATCATGAAGTCTTTTTTGGAACCTCATGGATGTTTGCATCGAAAGTTCGACCAAGACATGATGTTCAACCGACTGCAGACCAATGTGACGAAGAAGGCCGTGGGAGTGGCGACAAAAATGTCATGCGGATTCTTACGCCGTGGTAAAATTCGGGAGTGGGGATGGTCATCAATCCATCAGTAGGGATTTATACAACAATATTAAGAATTTATAGTACGGGATGGATGACCATAAACCATGTACCATGTAATTAGACCATGGCAGACATCATGAACGGCGCACACATTCCTGACATTTCCTGACAGAAAAGGAAAATTTGTCAACCTCTCCACAGCTGCTTTAGCTCTGTTGGAGAACCTGGAGTGTTCAAAACCTGTGGTGATGGAGGGCCTCATACTTGATCCAATATATTGGGCCAGTTGGTGGTTTCAAACATGTTTTATTGTCCATTTCATATATGGGATGTCATCCTTCCCATTGATATGTTTCAAGATGGATAAAACCCCCCACCATTGAGGATCATCCATTGTACTACAGGGATTATGACCCCACTTCTTGAGCAGCTACGAAGTTGGGTGAACCAAATAGGGTAGCCCGAAAATCTATGAAAATCTGATGGCGGATCATTGTTTTCTCATTCAAACTGCCAAGAATTGTTTTCTTTTTTTATGTCTTCCCGATTTTCAGACACAACCAATTGTTGGATTATATTATACTGCTCGTTATATTAATATGTGAGATATATATATATACAATAATAATAATGGTGATGATAACAATAATGAGAATAATAATAATTATAGTAATAATAATGTGTAATGGATAATGTATAACCTATAATGTATACCTATAGATGTATAATGCATTCAATTTTTGAAAACCCATTACATCCCATTTTTAGATGGTCATTTATATATACTTCAATTTACAGTGGGGTGGTTCACCCCCAAGTCATGTTCTATCATTTTCTCATAAAATAGCTATAGATATCTATGAAGTACTGTAACCCAATGTTGACTTACCATCGAAACACATCTCCATTCCCATAGGATCTATGTATGCTGGTATGCTATATATGGTAACATGGATCCCATCAATATATCCCCTTTTATGTTAGCATATATATATATACCAGCACCAGCCGGATCCGTCATGGGATTTGTTGTTGACCTTAAAAATCACCCAGTTTTGTAGGTAAATATAACATTTACCATCAATATATCCCCAATGTTAGCATATATATATATATACCAGCACCAGCCGGATCCGTCATGGGATTTGTTGTTGACCTTAAACATCACCCAGTTTTGTAGGTAAATATAACATTTACCATCAATATATCCCCAATGTTAGCATATATATATATACCAGCACCAGCCGGATCCGTCATGGGATTTGTTGTTGACCTTAAAAATCACCCAGTTGTGTAGGTAAATATAACATTTACCATCAATATATCCCCAATGTTAGCATATATATATATATATATATATACCAGCACCAGCCGGATCCGTCATGGGATTTGTTGAGGCTTCAATTCGGTCTTGTCTCCAGATGTCTCCAGGACCGCGAGCTGGTTTGCAGCAGCGAGGCAGACCCAGAGGTGCCACTTAGCCGCGCAGCGCTGTCGCCGCTGGAGGCGCAGAAGATGCGGATTTACTGCTTCGGATGGACGGTGCGACGGCCACAAGAGGACGGCTTTGATGAGAAAAAGATAGAAAAATATGGAAAAATATCGAAACATATAGAAAAATATAGAAAAATATAGAAAAATATAGAAAAATATGAATTATCCAAGGATGTTGAACTTAAAGGTTGTTTGATATATGTGTCATATTCTGATATTCTTTATATATTAATGTTTTCAGTACTGATCGTTGTGGGACTGGAATTCTTAGATTTTTTCGTGGGATTTGGAATTTTGACGCAGTTTTCTTGGTTTTAAATGGAGTAGAATCCCACTGAAATTTGTCTTTTTTGAGGGGATGAATAAAGCACAGGAGCTGTTGCTGCCCTACGCGCGAAAGCTCTATGAGGGCTGTGATAGTCACTTGTCACTACTGCTGTTTTTTTTTCCGTGGGGAAGGATTTTGGTGAATAAGAGGCTAAGTTAAGTTGTTTTTTATAAATAGTTTTGGTGTGTGTTGTTTCTTATATGTCTCTATGCTTGATTCTTTGGGGTATAAATGGGGATATATGAGATAAATGTAGATCATGGGAGATATAAGAAGACCTACGATTGTGATCATGGTAATGTTTGTCTTGAAGTACTCTATGCCAGTTTAGCGATAGCAAGGATTGACGCATGGTTATGTTGTTGTCTCAGTGTTCAAGCTTAGCTTTGTTTACCTCCATGTCTTGGACGTACTCAATCTGCTCTTGGATATGTTTGACTTTGGGTTGCTTCGACACCAATGCAGGTCATCATTTTTTCACTGATACTCAGTCTGCTGGAGCCGAGCAACCCGATTTCATCAGAGTGGAGTTGCCAAAGACGCAGCAAAACCGTTCCGATCAATTCTGGTTGCTCTTGAAAAATATGGTTGGACTGCTTCCAGCTTGGAACTATTTGTTGCAAAACAATGTGACACTTGGCAGCAGTACCAGCAAGTCCAGTGCCACTCCGCATCCTGTTCAGTGGTGGTTGTTGGTACCAAGCAAGGACCATTGGAAGACCGGTAGATTGGTGAAGGCTGTAGATTCCCATCACAGATCACTTTCTATTTGATTATCTATTGAACAAATGACATATGTATATACTATGTATACATGTATATATAATGATTATAATTATCATATATAATGATCATCATCTATACATTATATATATATATATATGATATATACAGATGCATTATGAAAACAAATCGTCCACAGTAGAGGCAAGACTCCTTTTAAACGACCCCAAAAGCCACGATTTTCTTGGACTCTTGACGACAGACCAGGACGGATGGTTTCGATTGGGTGATCAACCTGGAGTTGGATCATTTCTTTTTCGCGCCCTTTCTGCGACAGACCATTGCGGATCACACGAATCTCATGCTTCAGGATGTCTCAGTTTTTTGCACATGATTCGATTCTCCAGTGATTTGTTGATCCACCGAAATTGTGATTTGTGGTTTGGTAGGAAACTCGTACAGGCGAACTCCTAATTTTTCGGAGGTTTTATCTAATCATGAAGGTTTCTACCGTCCAGATATATATATATAATATTATATATCCAAATATAAGGTACCGTGAAGGTATTGGTCGGCAAATGTCGTAAGGACTGCTCAAAAACATGTTGGCATGAGCTCAAAATGGGTTCCTCCCAAGAATGATTTTGATGGCGGTTCATGTGTCAACTGCTGCGAACATGTAGCGGGTACTCACACCAAAATGCAGTGACACCAATTGTGTTGGGAGTTGTCCTCATCGAGCTACTTGATGATTCGTGGTTCCATCCAATCATACCCTCTGATTCTGATGATATCAGGTGTTTTTGGTCTTACATGTTGTACCCATCACATCCCATTACCCGTAACAGACACATGTTTGAGACGGAGCGGCCCAAAAGCCCAAAACGGATCTTTCTTGCATTGTTGACATGACCTGTTAGATTCTGGTATAGCCATGTAAAATATTGCCACATTTGCAGCATGATTTACCTATAAAAGATGGTATAACATGATGATTTTCCAATATTTTCCATGGAAAGCTGTGATAGATAGCCCCTCCGGGCCCCAGCAGGATCGCTTGCCGGGGCAAGATCCCTGGCACGACTCCGTGATGATGGTCTTCGGCAATGTCTTCGCCTTCAACGCACCGCTGGTGCAAAACATGAAGCGAGAATGGGGCACCATCGGGCAAGCGACCCGTTTGAAGGTAACGGTTCGAACACTTCTTTTATAGATAGAAAAAGGGGTATAGAAATGGACCAGCAGAATTGTCGGAACGGAACTGTTTCATAGTTTTTGGTATTTGAACCACACACAATATGTTGAGGGCTACAACATCGAAGTTCGAACTGGTGAATAGGTTCGAATCGATCCCAAATCATGAAGCTTGGTGGTTTGTTTAAGGGCGTCTACACTGCGAGTTTTGTTCACCCCAAAATCAGAGCGGTATACTCATGAAAAACGCAATAGCGGGGTTGTTGTGTGCATTTGTCCTCTAGAGTGATATACCCATATACGGGGAAGGTAATCAAGCGACTAATATGCGGAATTATCATGATTTATGTCACCATTATGGAATGGATGACTGTTAACCATTAATCATGGTAAGTTGGTGTGTTATCCCAGTGTACAGCGCGAGCATTATATAAGAATGTTGGTTGCCGATGGCCAGGGTCCCTCAAATTCTTATTGGAAAGGCCCCATGTATGTCAGCATATATGTACCATTATTCGGTCAAGGGTCAAGGGTCCCTTAATTTCTTAGCGATTTCTTAATGTAGTATTTCACAAGCAGTCAGATTTGAAGATGTAAGAGCGGGGTTGCCTCTGCGCAGCTCCTTTCGTGAGTTTGACTCCGCCATCCTTGCACAGCTTCCCAGTGGCTCCTGGGCACAAAGGAACAGTTACCCAGTCTCCTCTACAGAAAGCTCTTACAAACCCTTACATGATTAAGAAATTGAGGGGCTGGATTTCTTAGTTGTGTATTGAGTTGAATCCTTACCCGGTGGCGTCTCCTCTACACAAGGCTCTTATAAACCCGTAAGGGTTCAATTCAATACATAACTAAAAAAATCCAGCCCTTCAATTTCTTAACCATGTAAGGGTTTGAGGAGACGTCACCGGGTAAGGGTTCAATTCAATACATGCCTAAGAAATCAAGCCCCTCAATTTCTTAACCATGCACCCGGTGGCAACAAGGCAGCACAGGCAAGGCAAGGCAAGGCAAGGCAGCACACGCAAGGCAAGGCATGGCAAGGCATGGCAAGGCATGGCAAGCCAAGGCAACACGAGCCAAGGGCACAGATGACCTACAGTGAGTCTGGCCGGTATCTAGCTGAAGTTGTTGCCAGCAGGCTTGGGGATCGTGTAGTGGCTCAACTCTGGGGTGGTCGTGCCCCCTTGCTTGTCATTCCCAACCATGCCATGGCTGTGCAAAGTTCATTTTGGAACCCTTTCATGGTTAAGAAAATTGAGCAGGGGCGCAAATGGGCTCCTTCACATACATTTAAATTTCTTAGCCTTTAAATTTCCAGGGTTCCTCAATTTCTTAACTACCATTTGCATGTATATTCCACAAAACATATATGCGGCAAAAAAACAGACCTTCATTTTCTTTTACAAGGAATTCTTATACAGTGGAATTCTTTTTACAGTGCTTGGACTGTATTGCCATTCCGTGTCCATTACTATCTATATATATATACCCAGTATGCTTTGTATTGCCATCATATCATTACCTTATTATATGCATATGTAAACCATTATATCGTTATTCCCATGACATACCCATTATTTATACATCCCATTATTGTTGGTTGAATCTGAACCCGATGGGATCCGCTGTGACCAAGAATCTGCACTATTGGGGCTAACTGCCCTAGGTTAAACATGCAAAAAAATGCGAAAAAAACATAGTTTCCCGTTCGGAACATGATCTACAAATGGTGTTTTTGTTGTTCCACTTTTATAAACCACATTAAGATGTTTTTTTTGCGTTCACGTATTTTCGAGATGTTGCTGCACACAAGGCACGAGGATTTGTAGCGTCTGGCCCAAGCAAGCTCAATGTGATCCCATAGGATAACCCCAGGGGACTCATTGACCATAGATTGGACTCAAGGACACAGAAATCCGATGAATCATGTTAGTTAAACAACAATAATAAACCCATTTTTTGGTTGAAATCCCACACAGCTATGGTAAATTTGGGGATTGCGTGCTATTGAGCCATTAACATTTCCTTGTTGTTTTGGCTATTGTAAGCAGGTATACTGCCTGGTTATTGTGGATTAGGAAAAACTATGATCCAACTACTTTTTTTTGAGATTGGAAGACGGGGTATACATGTTCAATGGCACTATATATTGTTTCACTGACATTAAATGAGGATGTAACCCACAAAAACGGGAAGTTAGTGGGATCTCAAGAAAGAAAAAAATAATATATAGATTCAATGTATATAATCTGGTTTCTTGGATTATCCTCCATATTTGGGATGGTTTATACGTGTTACCCATAAAAATGGTACATTTTGGGGATGGTGGATCCTATAGCTTTACTAACTAGGACGATCTTCGAGCAAATGCAGCGGATCAGGTGATCAATGACAGCAGTTCCATTGGCCTTGGCTGTCCGGTGATCAGCGGATCTCGAGCGCATGACGTTGGCTATTGCGAACAGGATATGGTCTATGAGCCCTGGATGCAGTCGGTGGTTTTGCTTGGGAAAATGTCCGAAAATCGTAACCGGAAACCAGGTGGTCCGGTTTCAATTTTGCCTTAAACCAATTCATTGAATTGGAGCAAGGGACGAGTTGCAGAATATATATTATATTACTATATATTTGGTTTGTTGTCTGTCATGGTTACAATGGTCGTTGGTTCCTTACAATCTCACAAGCAGCAATACGCTACTGATATAGGAAACTTGATATTTCCTATATGGAGCATGGTGACCAAAAAAACAGGGGTTGATTACATTGTGGTGCAGTTCATGTTCACCAGTTTGATACAGCTTATGTGAAAACCATACATCCAGTGTTTCCCTTGTTGCAGCCGAATCACCCGCACTGCACCGCGCGTTTGGCACTGCAGAACCTGTTTTTTGGCACTGCGTTCCAGATCTTTGCAGACAAAGTTCAAAGAAATTTAGAAGTTTAAAACAATTTTTCCCCACCTGCCAGGTGAGGGTTGTTAGATTTTATGTCAGTTGCCTCCTCCTCCTCCTTCTCCTCCTTCTCCTCCTTCTCCTCCTCCTTCTCCTCCTCCTCCTCCGCCTCCTCCTGCCTCGTCCTCCTCTCCTCCTCCTCCTCGTCCTCCTCGTCGTCCTCGTCGTCCTCGTCGTCCTCGTCGTCCTTGCTCAACTGCGACCCGCGATCCACAGTGTTCTCTGCCGGACCTCAACCACGACCATCCACGCCCAATGTTCCCTGCCGGACCTCAACCACGACCATCCTCGCCCAGTGTTCCCTGCCGGACCTCAACCACGACCATCCACGCCCAGTGTTCCCTGCCGGACCTCAACCGCGAGTATCCACGCCAAGTGTTCCCTGCCGGACCTCATGTAGGAAGATATGGGACAAAGAATGTGCAGAAAAAAGTTAGAAAGAATGTCAGAAAGAATGTCAGAAGATATGCCAGAAGATATGCCAGATAGAATGCCAAATAGAATGCCAGATAGAATGCCAGATAGAATGCCAGAAGATATGTCAGAATATATGCCAGAAGATATGCCAGATAGAATGCCAGATAATATGCCAGAAAATATGCCAGATAGAATGCCAGATAGAATGCCAGAAGATTTGCCAGATAGAATGCCAGAAAATATGCCAGAAGATATGCCAGATAGATATGCCAGATAGAATGCCAGATTGAATGCCAGAAGATATGTCAGATAGAGTGCCAGAAGATATGCCAGATAGAATGGCAGAAGATATGCCAGATAGAATGCCAGAAGATATGCCAGAAGATATGCCAGATCATATGCCAGAAGATATGCCAGATAGAATGCCAAATAGAATGTCAGAAGATATGTCAGATAGAATGCCAGAAGATTTGCCAGTAAGAAAATGTATAAATGTCATGGTGGGGATCACACGAAGTAAAGTAATTTGAAAAACTATAGTTTCCAGATTTTGTCCCCCACAGTGCATCTTTTCAACTGGTCCCTATTGTGGGTCAAGTCAGTCTTTTTGAAAAGTGACAACTTCGGAGTATCCATTGGCCCGGCCACCCTCAGTCACCGGATCCACCTTAGATCAATCACTATGAATGGTTACGGTTTTCACGGGAAAATCTTCACCGGAAACCATAGATTCCATAGATCATTGTCCCATTAATTTTTTATAGGTTTTTCCTGTAAAAGATATCCCTTAAACCAATCCATTGATGTTAACCGCTTGTGTTTTCTGCCACAGCCACGAACTGCTCGCGCTGCCTGAGCAATGCTGCGATCTGAGGAGAATTTACGTGATTACATGCGGAGCAGCGTCACCATCGTGGGCGCCAATGGCTGTGGAAATGTGGCAACTTCTGAAACCTGCAGTGATTTCAGTTTGAATCGTCACTTAAGATCCATTCTTCTCAATGTTTCACTAAACTTGGCATTTTATAACCGGTTATGGTTTACGCGTTGAGTATCATTGAATGAAAAAAGGTTACTGTACATTTATTTACATTTACACATTTCCCACAGAAATATGCAAGCCTAAACCATCATTTATTGAATGTTACCCTCTGGTAAACTAACGTAGCTATAGAAAATCACCATTCTGAATAGGTAAATCAACTATAAATGGGGTACTTTCAATTGCAAAATGTTAAATCACCAGAGGGTACATGATTTTTCCTATTTGGGTAAGGAATTGCCTCCCCAAAACTGGAGGATCAGGTCTCGTCAACTGGTATTGTCACTGGTATTGTCGTTAACATGGGGTAAGTCTCCCAAAAGCATGTGTTTTGGGTGAAGCCGATATCAGCATTGTTGCACTTCGTTTTTTTCTTGACCGAACTGACCTGAAAAAAAAGCGAGGATAGTTTGGTCCCATTTCCCTTGGCATGTTGGCAAGACTTCGTCTTCGGCGATGAGGAGGAGCAACGACTGCAAGTCTTGAAGGAACTGCATGTGCTGTGGAACTTTTCGGATGCACAAGGTGCTGAGGACAGGGTAGAATCTGAGAATCACTGAGAGCTGGGGAATTGGGGATGTGTATGACCCCTTTTGAGGGATCCAAAGCATTTTGGCAGTATGATTGGGGGGGTTCCCAAAATAATTGGCCTTGAAATAGCAGATGGAACGGAGATGAATAGATTCCCAGGGTGAAAGTTTAACCCGCCGGAGATGAGTCGGCCAACTCACTGTGGGAACCATGGTTGCGACGCATCAATGCTGGGATGTGTGCATCTATCTATTTGAATGCGGAACTGTCAACGACTCGGTATTCTCATATAGGGGGTTATTGTTTGTTGTTCCCGCTAAATATTGGAAGCCGGGCTGTTTGACTTCTTTGTTTCATGTTTTTTTTTCTCCACGCAGCAAGCACTGGCTCCGAAACCCTTTTCTTCCTTTGCGGGAGTTTGCTTCCGGTTCGCCGTTGGAGGACTATTGTTTGTCGAGGGAAGACTTGCAACCCCACTGCAAGAAGCTGGTGCGGTCCCGCTTCGTTCCAATCATTCACAACATCAAAACTCCCAAGTTGCACGAGGCTGCCAGGGAACTCTTACCGCTCGCCGAAAAAAGAAGAAGGGCCTGTCGTGAGTCTTCGCTGTCCAGCGGGGTACCCTCCGGTGTTATCAAACATGGCTGGAAAATCTCCCAGATGATGATCCCTCCCATTGAAAGCTCCATAGCAATAGATATAGTTGTAGGGGATTTCCATAGATTTCCCATGTCCATCTTTGATTGCCGGAGGATATGTCAGTCTTCCACTCTGAGAGGTGGCAATTTAGCTAGGGAACGATCGTCATGACTGTCAGACATGGGCATGTAATTGCATGTAGCTATGGTGGGATGTTTGCGCAAGTTGTCATCAGTGATATGTTCTTGGGTGACCTGTTTTTCTGAAAGTGCTACTTACTTTCATTGTTAAGTCCTATATCTACATTCCAGTAGTTCTGTATGCTTGCTGGTGCCATGATTCCACATGGGTGTGGTTAAAATTTGAGTTTGGACTCGAGAGTGATGGTTAGTATGCAACAATAGTAGATACATGTAGATACAATAGTGTTAATTTTGGACCCATACCCATGTTACCCTCTGGTAGTTTAATAGTTTGCCATGGAAGCCATGGCCCATTCAGTTCGATGATTTACAAGTGGTGATTTTCCATAGCAAACTGTTAAATTACCGGAGGGTATTGATGGGTCTGTCGATTGCTTTCCCTTGGCTGGTTGGAAAACTGGTTGATCAGTCCACCATCGATACCCTCTGAGTATTTCACACTTTGCGAAAATGGCCCATGTGTAGATGATTCATCAACATAGCCATGTTCCTTGGCGTCGATTCCCAGAGGGTAAAACCCGGTCATGTACCTTGGGATAGCCGTGAGAACCCCATTTCGCTGGGAACATTTGCATATGGCACTATGGGGGTTTCCGAGAATGGGGGGTCCTCAAGTCACCATGGGTTTCAATACTCAAATGGTCTAATGACTGGATGATTTGGGGGTATCCCTGTGACTTTGGAAACCTCCATATGGTTTATACTACTAATCATTGTTTCTTGGCTTTGTCTGAGTCCATCCCGCGTTCAAGAATATAATAATCTAGTGAATATAGTGAAATTTCATTGTCCCCTTCAAGATTGGCTATAAGTTGGTGGTGCATTCCCATCTTCAGATACATTTATTCACTCTTATCATTTTCTTGATTATATATGGCTCTTAGTACAATCCCATGATATTCCCATAAATTGTTATATCCCAGTTAGAAATGGCATACGCCATCAAATCGTATTTATTTGTGGTATATACTTGGTATGTTAGTATACCGTAGTATTGTATTATCAGGGTGTGTCCCAGTTATAATCGGTATACTAATAATATTACTATTTACGAATTGTTCGTGGGATTATACTCCCAGTAGTTATTACAACTACCAGTAGCACATGTTTTTTCAGAGATCGTTTTATATACTCCCAGAAGTTACTACGAATTGGTAGTTTTCTTAGCTCCAAAAAAAACGACCCATTTTTCGTCCCGTCGCAGCGATGAAAGGTCAAAGTTCTGCTTCCGGCGATTCCGAGAAGGTGCCGGGTGCCGTGGTGAAAGCCGTTGGATCTGACCCTAAAAACATGGCGGAAATCCATGGGTTTGAAGTGACCAACTAGAATCACTAGAATCAAAAGTTGGATTTATCCATATTTATCATGTGGAAATTCATGTGTTACGTAGCTATGCGAATTTTGCATTGAATCATAGGTAAATCATCCATAAATGGGCCATGGCCTCCATATCTATGTTAGCACCTGGACGATAAGCAATAAACAATGATGATTTCATGGGTTTTAAGTATATAACCAACTAGAATAAAAAGTTGGCTTAGATTGGCCCATTAATTCGGGAATGGTCATCAATCCTTGTTCATAAGGACTCTTTAACACCCATGATTTTTCCGGAGTCACATGATGGGATCGATCACAGGAGGGACAACCATACCCCATAATGGGAAGCGGCCAGGTGGTGCGGGGTCCACGTTTTGAGTTGCTACCTCGCTAGCAAGTTGGGCACCTTTTGGATCCTTTTGGGCTGTTCCAATCATCAAGAACTTGTGTTGGGTTGAGTAACAACGCGGGGATACGAACACGCAGACACACATGACGGGCGTGGATACGAACTTGTGAACCCAAACGAGAATTGCCGAGTTGACCCCTGCTGGCTGAGGATTGATTGAGAATGTACCCTCTGGTAAACTAACATAACTATGGAAAATCACCATGTTTAATGGGTAAATCCACTATAAATTGCCATTTCCAATAGCTTTTTGTATGTTTACCAGAGGGTAGCACCATTGTGCATCTCCGCTTTTTTCGCAAGCTTAGAGGCTTAGTCCCGTTTTTGACCTAGATGACTCCACCACAAATTCCTTCAGTCAATGGTGAAGCTGAGCTAAGGGTATCCATATTCCAAACAAAAAAAATAGGGGAGCCACGAATTGAGCTACGAATTGAGTTTCCCAAGCACATGATAGTTGTTTGGTTAAATTCATAGATTATAACGCTATATACTATATATTTTTTCTCTCTAGCACATAGAGATATATATTCCATGATATTCCCATATTTGGGGAAGGTCATGTTACCATGTTATACCTGTTTTCATAAAGGATTGATACAAAGTGGGGCCCCCAAACGATAGCTAAGTTTGTTTATAACTCCAATAACTATGGTTTATGGTACCTATAACTATAGTATTCATGGGGTTTATCAACCATCTTATAACTGGGCCCCACATTGATATGCCCATGATGTTAGGATTCTCTCCTTGCAGGGATCGGGATCACCCAGGGATCACCAAGACGAAGCCGGGGCCACCTGGGAGGCCCGGTTTGTACGTGAGGAGGTCAGTGACCGGCTCAGATTGAAGCAGTCTGACACTGGATTGATCCCGGGTGGAACCTCATATCCCATGACGGATCCATGGTGCTGCTATATATGGTAACATGGATCCCATCAATGTATCCCCAATGTTAGCATATATACCAGCACCATGGATCCTATGGGATATGGCTGGAAAAATTGCAATGCCTTTTTTTTCCACAAGCCTTGGTCCATGGGTCGCGGTGACAATCAGAGACCTGGAGGAAGCGGTGTTTGTTTTTTTTCCGTGTTTTTCCAAGGTTCCTGGAAGCAGGAACTGAAGCACAATGCTGGTGACCCAGCCCATGTGAAACACTGAAGATCTGAAGCTTTTGTTCTGGCTACCGGTAGTGATCTATTTTCAGAGCTACACCTGGAGAGGACAAATGTTATTAGACCAAGATTGTTTGAGGGTTGACATATTTGGACACAGACATATTTGGGTTCCATGTAGTCACCCATGATTTCTTCATGGCGCATGTATCTCTTATAAAAAATCTGATGACTGTGTATTATATATGGTATCTTGCCATATGGAGGTTTCCCAACTTGGGGGGTACTACACCCCCGAATCATTCATGTATGAATGGATTTCCACTATAAACCATCCATTTTGGGGCACATCCATTTATGGAAACCTCCATATGTTATATTTGTTTTTATTGGACTCGTCCATTGTCACTGAAATGGAACAGTCCGAATTTGATTGGTCAAGTCTGAGTGTATCACGCCCAGATTTCAAGGCCACATGAAACACTCCCCACAAACCGTGGTTTAGTATGGGATTTACACATCTTTGGAGCATTTTGTGACATGATTTTGAGGATGTTTGATACCAGCATGGGATTATTGGGCACATTCACTAGAGTTCCTGAGTTGATTGGGTTACTGTACCCATTCTGTTGAATTCAATTGGGTGAGCCACCGCCTATCAACAACAATCAACTTCCATTTGACTTATCCATTGCCCCTGTCTCATTTTAGCCAATAAATCTAGGGCTGCGTCATATATTTAGATCATTTGTTAGATGTGTTTCAACCCATTATATAATATTACTAGACTTGGGAAAAAAACAGGTAATTACGTAATTGCGTCATACATTTCTAGATATTCAATCAACCCATAGAAAAGAAATAGAAAATACAATATCTAAGGATTTGAAAAAATAAACAGACAAATACGATATTTAAGTCCGTTGTCTACCCATTTTTCCCATGTTTTTCGTCCCAAAAAAGCACTCGTCCCCAGCCAAGGTGCTCCACGCGCCCAACCGGCGAGTCACACAGTTGAAGGACCACAGTGACGAGGTGAGGCGAAAATCATATGGAACTCACGGGGAGATCATAGGGTACTTAAATGATATATGATACAAGGGTTTAATGTTATATATATATATATATTATGTATACACTGAATAATATATATATATAATGGTTATTTGGATTCAAAACCTCAAATGGGAGTTTCCATACATGGGGGTACCCCAAAATGGTTGGTTTATAATGGAAAATCCTACTAATAAATAGATGAGTTAGGGGTACCTCCATTTTAGGAAACCTCCATATGGAAATCATGAGAAGATGATAGGGTACTAAAATTTTGTGTATATATATATTATACACCGAATAAAATGTATAATGTATCATTTAACCAATTACAGTCAATTGTGATGCTGTGCATATATAGATAGTTGCCAATTCTATTATAATCATTTAACATCATTTAACAATTTAACGATTGGGGACTGGGGAAGAATGGTCAAAACAATAGGTCCCTAGCTGGTGTCACCACTGGTGTGCCATGGCAAAAAAAAAACTTGGGTTAACTTTGATTAGGTAGGGATTTCATGTGATTGCGTGGGGGCTGGACGGATTCAAATTGGAAAATTATAAATATATATATATTATATATATAATAATTTTGTATGACCAACTAAAATCAAACGTTGGACAAGATTGACCCATTGTGGGATGGATGACCATAAACCATATATCATGTTTTGACCATGGCACATGTGTTGATACTCACACTTTTTTCACTGAGTTTGGAGGCTTGGAATCCCAGCATGTTTGGTGAAACAGGGCATGGTTTCTTATTGGGTTTAACACATATGTGAAATTCATTCTGAGATTAAGCCCTGTAGCAGTGTTCACAACCCGCGATGGTTGATGTTCAGAATCCATGCACTGGTAACCGCTATCAACCAACAAACAGAATTTAACATATCTATGGAAGATCACAGGCCGTTGTCATCTATAAATGGACCATTTTCATCAATTTATCATAGCTGTTTGAAATTGCCGGATGGTAATATGAATTGTACCACGATGATATCATTATGTTGATGAAATGTTATTGTGCATAGACATATGTTTATGTGCGCAACATTGTTATATCGATATCATGCTAGATTATAGTGAATATAAATATTTGCAAAGAGTCCTTGTGATTTACATCAATGTGTATCATGATGTAATGTAATATATGAATATACGAGTCTATAGGATGTGCACAACAGTATTTGTACATAATGTATGTATGTATACATGCATTATTTGTTCGAGTGATGCCCACGGTCCGAAATTACCCTGGTAAGTATGGTAGTATACCATGGTTTTCTCGTAACAGTTCCCGAAGAACCAATTACCCAGTGAAGAATCAATACATACCCATAGGATCCATGGTGCTGCTATATATGGTAACATTTACCATCAATATATCCCCAATGTTAGCATATATACCATACATGGATCCTATGGGATACCCAAATCCCTATGGTTTTGAAAGAGTCGAACCTCATTTTCCCAGATTTTCCTTTATTTTCATTATATATTTTCCTACGCTGGGTGGAAGAAATCCTGCACCACCTATATAACCTTGGATTTGCTAATGCATAACTTGTACCCCCGCACCCCGAAGCTCAATGTTGAATGACATGTTGACAGGTGGTGCAGGATTTCCGTCACTCACGCAAATCCATTTTGATCACTGTGTCTTCAAACAACGTTAAATTAGGAGCGCGAGGTTTCAAGTGGAGGCCTTTGAAAGTGGTGCAAGATTTCTTCCATCAACAGTACTGAAAGTTCATGTGCCTGTGCGAAGAAGCGCAAAGAAGCAGCGAGCAGAAGCTGAAGGATGCTTGTGCCATATGCATTAGTGTCAGATCATTAATCTTTGAATTAAAGGTCATCAAGCCCGGTGCATGTAGATTTGATTATATTGCAACACAAGCTGTGCAAAGGAGCGCTGGCATGCCGGAAAATAGTTGCCGGACCAGGAGGAGGCAGGAAGCAGAGTCCTTTTCAAAGAAGCAGGTGAAAGTGACCAGTGTTGCGTGGCACCCCCACGTCACGCAACACTACACGCTACACTACACGCTACACTACACGCTACACTGCGCGCAACACTACCGAACTGCTGGCAGGGGCAGCATTTTGGAGCTTTGAGGCTTTTAAGGAATGAAATGAAAATACACGTCAGTTTTTTGTGTCCTGACCCGAACTGTTGCTCCCTGGCATCATTTCGGTAGCGTTGCGTGTTGTGTAGTGTGTAGTGTTGAGTGTAGTGTAGCATGAGTGTTGCGTGTAGTTTGCAGTGTGGCGTGCGACGGCTACCATGGAGCTCATTTTGCCTCGTGTTCAGCTGTGTGCAGGTGAAGAGTGAAGCACACTGGGGGAACTATGAGAAGAACCGACGATGGATTTGATCCCCCGGAAGTAGCTGGTGACGGGAAGAAATGTGCAAGACCAAAAATGCAAGAAATCCTCCCCTTTCTTCAGTGGGTGGAAGAAATTCTGCACCACCTATATATAACCTTGGATTTGCTAATGCACAACTTGTACCCCCGCACCCCGAAGCTCAATGTTGAATGACATGTTGACAGGTGGTGCAGGATTTCCGTCACTCACGCAAATCCATTTTGATCACTGTGTCTTCAAACAACGTTACATTAGGAGCGCGAGGTTTCAAGTGGATGCCTTTGAAAGTGGTGCAGGATTTCCTCCATCAACAGTAGTATCTTTGTGGCTCTTGTGCCTCTGGGCCCATAGTTGGAGGATCATCCAACTGAAGTGGTGAACCTGGGTGTTAGTCCCCGATTCGTGGGTTATCACTGAAAAGGTTATACGTAACATATTCTAACATACCGTGGATGGAAGAAATCCTGCACCACCTTGGATGGCTCAAACCCTTTAAATAGTGGGATAAACCACCTATTAGCTGGTGCAGGATTTCTTCCATCCACCGTATTACAGCATATTATAACATATTATACCTACTATATGGTTTTTAACCACTTACTATTATGGCTTTTAACCACTTACTATGTGGGATGATCCTCCCGGATGTTTCGAGATGCTTCGCTCCTCGGCCCAAAGGTCCTCTTCGTCGTTTTTTCACCCTGCGGCACACGCCTTGCGAGTTGCTCACGAGACTTGCGGACGGCCAGGGGGGTTGGAAGATATGGTGACGATCTGGTGTATCAGGATATGCTGAACCAAAATACCAAAGGATTTCAAATGGAACCACCATTTTCATGATGTTCCATGATTTTTCATGAATTGTCCAGAGACTTTTGGAGGGGATGACTGCCAGATGGTATCTAGTTGAGGGCCCAATCTAAGGGGACGCAGTTCTGGTGGGAACGCGGGATGGATGCGTTTTTTGCTTCGCGGAAGCACTTAGAAGCTGCATGGGCTTCTTAGAAGGGTTTTGCTTCTTAGAAGCAGCCTCTTAGAAGTAGAGGCCTTCTTAGAAGATAAGTTTTCTTTTTGATTTAAATTGTATGTTTAGCTTCTTAGAACCCTTCTGCTTCTAAGAGCTTCTAAGTGGCAAAATTCATCTTTTCAGCTTCGAAGAAGCCCCCCCGGAATCCATCCAGACTTGCATCCCCCTACATCAGCCCCTGACTAGTACGCAACCGCAGCCTCCTTCTGCGATGTCAGTGACACAACTTCGATGTTTAGCCGATGGATGATAACTACAACTTCATTAATATGGGGGCAATGGATAAACAACTGGTTGGTGGTTTGGAACCATGGAATGGATTATGACTTTCCATTCAGCTCGCCGGCGATGTCGCGAAACGTGCACCGCAGATTGTCTTCAAAGTAAGCTATCACCACAGCGACGACGATATGGACCGTCGGGATCCGAGCGCCGTGTTCCGAAACGGTGGTGGTTCATCCCACGTGCTCAGTACGTTATAACCCTAGCAAAAATATTTATTTGGGGTTTACCCCCTGGTAAACGTTTACAAAAAACAAACTGGAAAGATCCACCATGCTAATAATGGGGAAATTTTACTATTTCTATGGCCATGTTCAATAGCTATGTTAGTGGATTAACCATGATTAACCTCACTTATCCCACTTGCAACGAGGATATAACCTACTTAGTAAGTGAGATGAGCCACCAAGTATCAAAGCAAAGCAATGATAGCGGTAAATATCCCAAAATAAACGTATTTCAGGTAAGTGAATTGTTTCATTTGCCCAGATGTGTGTTTGACACAATTTGTATATAGGAGTGGGTTGTTCATGGAACACAACAATTGGAATCATAATATGAAATACATGTATTTTGATTTGTCAGTGTTTTATCATTTGAAAGCCTGTGCCTGTTGGACACTTTGAAGAGTGTTACGTTGAATGTTGAAACACTTATTTTTTACCGCATGTTAGGCCCATTGAGGCCCCATAATCTGAAAAGGCTTCTGTCGGCTTGTTTATTTTTGCATGCACGCCTGCTCATGTTTGTGTTGGTGTCTGTTTGTGCTTTGTGATGCGAGGTCTGTGTGCTGATGCATCACGTACGTTCGATGTAGATGATTTTATTGAACATAGACAAGCAGATATACTACCAGGTGAGTTGCACTACATACCATTTCATGTTCAAACCAACATCGAGACATTCCCAAGCTATCACCATGACTGTTTCCAGGGTGTTTTCATGTGTCCTCCTCACCAGGTAGGGTCGGAAGCCAAGCTTCAAGGCTCTGCAGGGGGAGCCACAAAGGGCTATTCGGTATTCCTCTGAAAATGGAAGCTACATAGAGTCACAGAGATTCATAGAGCCTGAGCTGACTGGTTGTGAGAGGTTCATGGGTTGAATGGTTTGAAGGGAGCTGTTGGAGGGGTGACTCTCATTGACGTCTGTTTATTTGTTCCATCAGTGAATCTGTATCGGTTCAGAGGGATCCTGAAATGATTGGTGCTATAACTTGGTCTATAAGGCGTTTAACTAGCTTAACTGGTTTTTGTTTCATGGATATATCGTTGGAGGGTTGTGTATACACCGAATCAACTCGGGGGTCCGGGCTCCTGTTGTGATTATGTGCTAGAGGGAAATGGTCATCAATTTAATCCATGTTCATGGGGATATACAGAGCCATGATGTTAGTACGGGCTCAACAATTCTGGGATGCATGACTAGGGGTCCCGTTCTTTCCATGTTTACTCTCATTGTTGATGATGCCTAATGATCCATGTTATAATCCCCATTGTTGATACTTAAATCCAACAAACATAACCCCGTAGTATAATCCCATAAAATTCCCCATGTGTTGGTGTTCTATCGCTATTTTGCGGGATAACCTGGACATTGCTGATTGAATTGACTCTTGCTGACGGTTAAATGATCAATTATAATGCTATCTTGGTTATTTTACATAGCTATGGAAAATCACCACGTATAATAGGTACATCATCTATAAATGGGTCGTGGCTTCCATAGCTATGTTAAAAAACCAGAGGCTAAATCGTGTCATGTGGGTAAAACAATGCCATAAACTATAAACCATCTCCCATTCATCACCATTTTTATAGGTGGTATAAATAAACCATTCCCAGTCATGAATGGTTTATCAATCATTGTTTTACCCACATTATTTAGTATTAGTGTTCAAGTTATTGATTCTAGAATGGTGGTTAACGGTGATGTATGGTGATTAATGGTGATTAATGGTGGTTATATAATGGTGATTAATGGTGGTTATTTAATGCTGATTAATGGTGACTAATGGTGATTAATGGTGATTAATGGTGGTTATATAATGGTGATTAATGGTGATTAATGGTGATTAACGGTGGTTATATAATGGTGATCAATGGTGACTAATGGTGATTAATGGTGATTAATGGTGGTTATATAATGGTGATTAATGGTGGTTATTTAATGGTGATTAATGGTGACTAATGGTGATTTATGGTGATTAATGGTGATTAATGGTGGTTATATAATGGTGATTAATGGTGACTAATGGTGATTAATTGTGACCAATGGTGATTTATGGTGATTTATGGTGATTAATGGTGATTAACGGTGATTAATTGCGACATTTATGGTGGCATTTATGGTGATGAATGACAACAAAAATTACCCCCCCATCAATTCATGAACAGTTCTTCCTATGATTCTCCCATGGACTCGCAAAAAGCTGCTGATCTAGGCCTTTGGATCCATCCTTTGAGCGCGAGGCGATTTTCACGCATCAGCCGGGGGATCTCAGCCCAGCCGGGTGACCAGCAGCCAAATGGTGATGGATTGGATAGGGTTTATGACATTGGGTAAACACCATGGTTTACCACATTGTGAATCTACCAAATTATATGAGAAATTTTACAATTTTCTCAAACATTTTTATAGATACCAAGATATTTTTAACATATAATTCATTGTTCTTGTAGTTCTACTAAATTCATCAAAATAAAATGATGATTCATGATATTTTCGAGACGGACCGACTCACCTCCGATTTTTGCTTGGCCATCATGATGCTGGCTATGATCACGTTCTTACTGCTAACATAATGCCATGTCAGGGTGCATTCAAATGCCACCGACATTGATAGGATCTATTTATGTCTATAGCCTGTTTCCAACTGCTGTGATGTGCTTAGACTAGTAGCCCCAGTTCAAGCAGTTTCATTACTCCGACTACACATATTGCTCCACCCTCTTAGTCTGTGAAGTTTCAAACATTCCTTCAAATATCCTGACATTTTTCTTCTGAAATAGTTCCATTAAGTCCAATGAGATCCCATTAATGTGGTAAACCCAATTTCATAAGCAATCCCAAAATCACAAAATCTTGATGGACTCTATTTCAACCATCCCCAAATGCTAGGACTGTTTATGGCAGCCGGGCTTTCCCACAGACCCAGTGGCTCCCATGGTCGCTGACAGCTTTGGTGATCTCGCTCAGGACGGCCCCATGCAGGGCGATTTGGTGGCCCATTCCGCCCTACAACATGGTGGCGGTGAGCACCGAGGACTCCTGTTTGGTCGCCACACCACACGTTTTCGATGGGAAACACTTATTCTGGGTTGCCAGGATTTCATGATGGGATCTCAGCAAGACTTGATGAATGAGATTAGTGGATGGCAATGTGGCTGTTCGTTATTACATCTAGATATACAGATGTATGTAAACATATGTCAAGCAAATTCCACTACAACTAAATACAAACATGATTGCATACATGCATGAACACATACAACATACAAAGACACATACATGCAAACTCAAAAATACACTCACACACATACAGAAAATAGATAGATATATATATATATACACATAGTTTTGAACATATCCATATGTGAAGGGTTGGTGTGATCTATCATGGATTGCGTTTGAAAGGTCATACGCTATCATTGCGCAATGTGACTGCAGCGCAAGACTGGCAAAGCCACTAGGACATGTACGAAGTACGGTAGGCAAGTTGTGCAGAAATGCAAACAGAATAAACAACCCTTTTCCCAGATTGGCAAGAAACCCAAGAAAAACATGTGTGTAAATTTTGGTGAAAATGGAAACCGACTTTGTAAGGTCTCAACAAATTTGGTGATGATTTTGGTGATGTATTTGGTGATAAGTAAAATGATAATAAATCGAAAAAATAAATAATTTGGGATTTCCAATGTGTGGCTGGCTAAAATTGTCATAATATATATATATATAGTTCATGTATGGTTGATTTAGTCAATAAAGATATAGATGAAATGGTGATTTGTTGGGTATGATTCATGGGATATACAATGATTCTACACCATTACCATTTGCACGGAAAATGATGCACTTACCATTGGAAATGGGGTATCCTATCTTATCAACTCATATGATGTTCCGAAGCTGGATGCGATGGGATATAGAAATCAACGGGATACATAGCCAACAATCTGTAAAGAAAGGGATGCCCCAAAAACATGATGAATAGTTAACCCATTATTTCTATGGCCATTTTCAATAGCTATGTTTGTTTACCAAAAGGTAATTATTATGGTCTTACCCTGGTCCAGTTCTATTCCTTTTCCATGTCAGATGGGTCAAAGCATATCATCCCCAATACCGAGCAGATTTTTCCGCTCGAAAGCACCATTCGCATAAATCATTTTAATGACGACTACGGGCCTACGGGTTTAAAATACCGAGTCCACAGATTTTTCATGAGCTATGTTTTTTTTGCTGCCAAATTATCAACTCAATAAAAAGGACATGTGGCTTGGCTGTTCATAGTTGTGCCATCTGGATGTCAAGCAAGATGAGGTCAGAATTCCTCATGTGTACAGTGAAAAATTGTCTTTAGATAAATATGATAAATATGTTTCTGTTTTTCCCCACCTGCCAGGTGAGGGTTGTTAGATTTTATCAGAGCGCTCTTCCTCCGCCTCCTCCTCCTCCTCGTCCTCCTCCTCCTCGACTAGCTGTCCTCTTCCTCCTCGTCCTCCTCCTCGCCTCTTCCTTCAGTTTCTCCTCGACCATGTCTGCATCAACTTCCACCTGCACTTCCGCCTTGCCAACTCTTCGCCAAGCTCTTTGCCAACTCTCTTCGCCGATTCTCTTCGCCAAGCTCTTTGCCAACTTCCCAGCTCAGTGTGCACCGCTGGACCTCACCCTGGGACCCTCCCAGCTCAGTGTGCGCCGCTGGACCTCAAAGCTGCCCAGCTCAGTGTGCACCGCTGACCTGCTCAGTGTGCACCGCTGGACCTCAACGGCCAGATAGAATGCCAGAAGATATGCCAGAAGATATGCCCAGATAGAATGCCAGAAGATATGCCAGATAGAATGCCAGAATGCCAGATAGAATGCCAGATAGATGCCCAGATAGATATGCAGATATGCCAGAAGATAGATGCCAGAAGATATGCCAGATAGAATATAGAATGCCAGAAGATATGATAGATATGCCAGAAGATATGCCAGATAGAATGCCAGAAGATATGCCAGATAGAATGCCAGATGCCAGATAGAATGCCAGAAGATATGCCAGATAGAATGCCAGAAGATTTGCCAGATAGAATGCCAGAAGATATGCCAGATAGAATGCCAGAAGATATGTCAGATAGAATGCCAGAAGATTTGCCAGTAAGAAAATCTATAAATGTCATGGTGGGGATCACACGAAGTAAAGTAATTTTGTCCATTGCCAGATTAGATTGCCAAAGGGTATGGGTCAAAATTGATTGATCGATCAGGAGAGCACAGATGAGTTTAGTCTTCTGTGGGGATGCAGCGGTCCACGCTTTCAAAACGCCAGTGAGTTCTCACTGTTGTTTCCATTGATTTTAATGACATATTTTTCACTTTACCTCTACAGTTGTGGTTGGTAAATCCATGGTAAATTCTGATGTTTTCTGTAGATTTTCGCAAGCAAAAGCGAAGTCCTGGGTGATGTCCTGGCCGAGGACGCAGGTGCTGGGTGGCAAGCATCCAAAGTGGAGATTTGGCAGTTGCGACCTCAAAGCCCTGCCATGGGGGGTCAATTTTCCGACCCCTCAAAAAAAAACAAATTTCGATGGGAAGTCCGCCAATTAAAAAGTGGGAGAGGCGTATTTCAGGGGTTGGTGATGGTTCTCTTGTTTGAAGTAGCTATATCATCCTACATCTATATTAGGTAGATCCATCTAAATTACATCTAAATCATTCTAAATCGTCTATTAATTGGTTGTTTCATGATCCAACCATAGCTATCACTTTTTATGTACGTACCCAAGTATCAATTGTCCAGATCGGATCATCGGAAGGATGGTGAGGATTTAGGTTCAGCTAGTTTCAAGTTAATGAATTATGGTACTTTAGTCAGGAATCGGAAAAGAATAATGTGGTAAAGCCAGTAATCAACCTCATTAACTACCAATTTTGGGGATGGTTGAAATCCAAGCCATAACATTGGTGATTGATTGTGGGATGTTTTATGGCATTAGGTGGATCCCACATGATATTTTATATAACAGACATCATCATGATCCTAATCATCATTATTCATAGTAAGTATTAATCACCATTATGAACCGTCATTAACCATTGTTGAACATCATGATCGAATCTGTGACACTGCATTTTTTCCCCCCAGGTATGTTTGTTGGTGGGGATTCACCGCATGAACAGTATAGTTATAAGTTATAAGTATCATAAACTATAGTTATTGAAGTTAGAACTATGGGGTTTACTCTATATAGTCATTATTCCATGCATGTTCCCATTGCAGTCCCATTGTATAAGCCCAATTTTTTTGCTGGTGAAATCCCACTTTCTTGGTTTACAACTCCAGAGTTATAAACCATAGGTCCCCATTAAGAATCATACACCAGAGCTTTTCTGGACTTTTTTCGGCACCGTTTCTGCGCGATTTCGGCCCGGGGTCTTAGGATTGGACCGAGTCCAAACTTGGAAACTCCACCAGAGGCCTGCGTCAACGGGCAGCCTGCGGGGTCCATGTTAGTTTTATAGTTTCGCTGTCAAATGGTTTGAGCCTCTAGTAAACTAACATAGAGTCTATGGTGCATTAATTAGTTGACACATATGACAATTACCTAAAAAAAAAATGATGTTCAAGAGTTATCTTAGTTTACAAAGGAGGGTAGGCGCAAGTTAGGTTGATTAAAGCTGATTAAACCATAAATCAGATGGGGATATATTAGTTGATCTTAACAATATGATAGTTGAATTTGTCCTAAAAAAATTGGGGTTTTCGCGGATTCCATTTCATGTCCATTTCATGGTAAACGTTTACATAGATGTGGAACAAGCCATGGTTTCCCTATGAAAAGAATCTACCAATAATGGATGTTCATGGATTCTCCGCATCTATGTAAACGTTTACTGGTTGGTTATAATTCATAGATCATCATAGATGATCATAGATTTAACATGGTTTTCACGAAGTCCACATCTATGAATAGATGTCCATTCTTCACACTTTCCGCTTTGGGATCTTTGGGACGACTCGTGGCGTTGCCAGTGACCAGAATGACCATCCCCAGCCTTGGATAGATGATGATCCCAGCGAACTAAACCTCCATTGATGGTTGGGATTTTCCAGTTCGCTAATGTTAAATAACCCGAGTGTAATCCTTTAGTTAGTCTTGCTAAATATGGAAACTAATCGTTTTAACTAGCAAAAAATGATATGTTTTTAATGAATATTTAAATGAACTGCCAGAGATTGAGCATGGAATCAGTCTTGAAAGACCTACTGAAGGGCGTAATCAACTCGTGGTTTCTACTTATGTCCACATGAGCGCCGCGTCCAGGGAGACACCGTCGAAGCTGAGTATCCCCTTGGTGTGAACGCTCACTGCATATTTCAGCCACTCGGCGGGGTGCCACGAGACAATTTTCTATCAGGTTTTTTTTGATGAAAAACTTGGATTATCATATTTCCAGTTACCATCTGGTTATTTAACATAGCCATGGAAATTCACCATGTTTGATAGGTAAATCAACTATAAATGGGCAATTTTCCATGGCTATGTTAAATAACCAGAGGGTACATATAAATTGAATAGAATAATGCAGGTACAACATATTTAAACATCATTTCGATACAAACTCAACTTGAAACCATCAACTTCATCTAAAGATGTGGTGCTCCCAAATCTGATCAGCATCTTCCCCAGAAGAATGGTAATGCTGGAATATCTCACCCAATTGTTCAATCCCACACTGCTTGCAGATCACAGTGTAACAAAGTTGAACATCAAAAGATATCAATAGGGTAAAGAAAACACCAGTGAACCATAGTGAACCAGCCATTGTCAGATGTGAATGGCTAGCAATTTTTTCGATGTGAGATATGAAGCCGCCTCAGGGGATGAACATCCCTTGCTGAATTACTTTAGTTTGTCATGTGAAGAAATCTTGTACTGGGAGCCAAGATGATAGGAGCGGCTATAGCTAGTTTTGGGACTGAAAAACGCTGCAGAATTTCCAGGCTATTCGTGACTTGTCATATCCTATTCATGACCCAAAATTGGATGGTTCATTTACCCTCTGGTAAACAAACATAGCTATTGAAAATGGCCATTTACAGTTGATTTACCCATTAAAATTTGTGATTTTCCATAGTTATGTAAACGTTTACCAGAGGGTACAGGGACGGATGTCATTAGTTCTTCATCCCATTTTTGGAGACCACCAAGCCACCAAGCCGTGGAGACCTCAGGTATCATCCATTTATAGATGGATTGTCCATGAAATAAAGTACCCTCTGGTGATGTCAAAATAGCTATTGAAGCCATGGCCATAGAAATAGTGAATTTTCCCATTAAACATGGTGATTTTCCAGTTCGTTATGTAAACGTTTACCAGAGGGTACTCCCATTGATGGAATGATGGGTGTCCAAGCCATTGATGTTTTATTGAGGCTTTTCCGGGTTCAACTTGCATTCAGTGGTCCATTTGGAGGTTTCCGTTTTGTCATGGGGGCACCCCCAAATCATCGAATAATTAGACCATGTTATTATTGAAACCCATGCTGACTTGCGGATCCCATTTTGAGAACCTCTATGTTTAAGGAGAAAAACTATTGAAGTCCGTAGCCACTGGGTTCGCAAAGAAAAGTTAGGCGAAGCCAGTCTTCTACGTACAAATCATGGCTAGACTATATAGCAGGTTGGCCCATTATGTGAAGCTGGCTGACTTCAAAATCTTATGGAGACCATAGATTTCCTGTTTACATTCACCCTAGAGTAAACTAAGATAGATGTGGAAAACCAATGGTTTCCCTAGTAAATCATCTACTAATGGTGGGTTTTCCAGATCTATGTTAGATGGAGGGGGGCCAGTGGATCCAGCATAATGTAGTATGCCTACAGTATGCCCGTAGTGGTCTACCCAACATTAAATTATGTGCCATGTTGTCAAAACTGGGGGTGACTTTTTCCCATCCTCAACTATGGGTCAAACCCGATTTTTCTGGGGACATATACCATATACAGTATACAGGAATGATACGTATATGTATACACACCTGCATACCCAATCAAATTTGAGACTCTTACCGATTCTACGATGACCTTACGCCTGCAGCAGCTGGGTCATTTTTGTCTTTATGAGTGATGATGAATCTGGGAGATATCCCAACCATGACCTTAGTTCAGAGCGAAATATGGCGTCTGCACCATGGCGCATGGGTGTGAAAACGGAGTACCTTCAATTCCAGTGGTTGATGAATTGATGATCTTCTTTCCCCACGAACATTGCAATTTTGGCCCATGAAAGGCAGGCCTTGGCAACCCGTATAAGGTGTGCCCCCCAGATATGTTTTTTGGTTTAGATTCACCCTATGCAAAGTATAGTTATCTATAGTTAGAGTTGTAACTGCCATTATCTAGGCTTATTTATTGGAGTTGTGTTCACCAACTTAGCGATTTCGCAGGGCGGGCCCTTTATAACTTGATTAATCGCCATTACACAACCATCAATCACCATTATAAAACAAATAGTCACCATTACACAATAATCAGCACTATATATATAATCATTTATCTCATTATATAGCCAACAATCACCGTCGTATAACCATTAGTCACCATTATATATATAACTGATAAAAATCATGTTTTTTTCTTAACCATTACAAGTTGATAACATCCATGGTGAAACCAGGTGTCACAATCGGCCCTTTGACATCTACGCCGCCATCTTCCCTTGGCCCCCGTCCGCGGGTGATAGCGAGAATCCAGAGGCGCCAAACCCTAACTTGGTGAACATCTAAACAACGAATGAACAACGAATGATAGATGGTTTTCACAAGTGTTTATAATATGGTTAATAAATGTTATTAATGATTGACTGGAGATACTACTAACTTAAGATATCTTAAGATCAATGGATGTTTCAGTTTTGTCATGGGGGTACCCCCACATCATGCAGTCATGGATGACTATGACTTAGGATTGAAACAACTATCGTGACGACTGTGGAGATCCACCATGACTTAAGAAACCTCCAAACGGTGATTTAACCAACCACAGGATGGCTACTTTGGTACAACTTTGGAGACTATCCTTTATATAATATATAAAATAATATAATATATATATAATTAATATTATATATATATATTATGTGTATAATATAATATATATTATGTATATAATATTGAGCATTGAGGATTATCATGATCCATCAACCATGGGAATGCCGATTGACCACCGTGGAGAAGGGATTTCATTCACCACCGTGACCATTTCGTGGGTCGACGCCCCAAGATGCCCCATTTTCTCGCAGGATCTCCACAAAAGTCTCTGCTTTTTGGCCGGCTGGGCCGTTCTTCGAGAGAATGAACACTACGTAGGGCCGACCCAAGCTGTGAATGCCAACTGGCCAGGGGTGGATGAAGGTGGGGTGTTCCCCATCCCTAAAGATTGGTTCATGGGTTCTACTCTGATCTGACATTCAGTGCCTGGAACATGATGTGGGGCAAGTCAGAGCCGCGCTGCAACAGCGGGTTTTGAATTTCGTCAGGGTCCCCATCTGACAATGGCTTTTTCTTCCAATGAATCCAGCCTGCTAATGTCATTCAGAGGGTGTTGGAGCAGAGGGGATGAAGATGAGGACTTTGCCGGATCTTGGATCTTTTATAGGATCTTTCATGGAATGTTGATGAAATTCATCAGGATTTGACTGGGCTTTGGATTGATTTTCAGGACTTGAACGGATGAAAAAATGGGATTTAAGAATGGAATTTGACGGATTTGCTCCCAAATTTGGATGTGTTTTTTCATTTTTTGTTCAGGATTTAATTTGATGATTCATTTTGGGTTTTGCAGGATTTATAGATAGATGTGTCAGGATTTTTCACTGATCTTCATTGATGTTTCAGGTTATTGTTGATTCCGGATTCGTTCTTCATAAACGTTCAGGCCATGCAGGATTCGATTTTTTCAAAATTCGCGAATTTTCCATGGAAACATCGCCCTGGTTTTTCCATGTTTTTCAAGGACTTGGATGGATCTTCCATGGGTTTTTATGGTAGTGAAGAAAAAGTGGATCATTTCTTGAGGTTCAGTGGCTCAACGCTCGGAGCTTGGGAAAAGTATGGAAAAATGGAGGGGGATGGAGCTGGGATTATCATTCTATGGAGTACCCGGCCTGGGAAAAGTGTTTACACAACGAACTGGAAAGATCCACCATGCTATTAATGGGTAAATCCACTATTTCTATGGTCATTTTCAATAGCCAACTGTTAGTTATTGCCAGAAGGCAATCGGATCAATTCTACCATTCTCCCGGACGAATGCCATGAGTTGGAAGATGTTGGAAGTTCTGCAAAAAATCGCTAGACATTGGCTCAGAACTCAGGGTCTAGGATGGTGAGTCAATGGTAGCCATCATTTGTGTTTTCCAACAAAAACGGAAACACTATGAACTTATGTATTTAATATATATATATATACATATATATATATGTATATATATACATAAGTATATATATATACATATTATGGGATGGGACGTCGATGGAAGCAAATGGAGATGACACAAAAAGCATGCTGTGTTTTTTTTTAGCCAGCAAAGAATATCAAATGTATGGAGGTCGATCAACAAGAATTGAGGGTATAGTATGGGAGATTAAAAGCATCAAAGATCTGAACACAAACATGTGGATGGGGCAGGACCATTCAACAGGGGCCATCTCAATGAGAGGGTGAACATCTAGCTATAACTGTTATTTTGGTGTGAACCAATGGTCAAACTATGGTTTGGGATTGTCGGTTTTGATTTTGGGGAATCCCTTACGTGAACCTTCATAAATCATAACTGGTTGGTGGTTTGGAACATGAATTTTATTTTTCCATTCAGTTGGGAATGTCATCATCCCAACTGACGAACTCATATTTTTCAGAGGGGTAGGTCAACCACCAACCAGCTAAAGGCTTGCTGGATTCCAAACCATCAACTTACTGGTGCTTAGTAGGGAATGGATGGGAATGGGTGTTGCTGAGGTGATTATTATTAGTGATCATGGATCATTCCCTCATTCCCCGCGTTTAGCACGAGTAAGATCATCAACCCCAAAACCACCAGTTCCATTTTTGTTGGTTTAACAACGGGCAAACGCCCAGGTGTCATCTCCTGGCTCTTTTTGGTTGGCCGCTAGATAATTATTGAATTTGGGCTGTTTGACTGAACTTCACCCTGTCCTTTTGGCGTGCCGTTTTCAATAGACTACCTACAATAGGGGAGTGTACTCATAAGTACCCAAGCCGTTTGGCTATTTCTCCCATGATATTCCCGTCATTTTCCCATTTTTTTCGCCATAATCCCATACAATCCCCATCAAGCCATAAAGCAAGATTGATTATTCCCATGAGATATCCCATGAATATTGTATTCCATTGATCCTTAAAAAAATCCATTATCCCATCATTCTCTCAGAATTGCGTCATAAAGGATAGCTGATCATTTTACTGATTTATTCTAAATTCTCATGGTGTTTCCCGTCTTTTTTCTTACATGATTTACATGTGACAATGTGTATTACATCGTTTTTTTCATCACTATCTCAATACTACATAATCCCTTGTATCATTCAGTGTAGGAATTAAAATCTATCAATTGTGATAGAACTATCAAGCTTGTGATATATGTTTACATCTACTACTATTTGGGGGGTGCCTGAAATATGGGTACCCCAAACCATCGTTTTTCCCCAAATTTATCATTGTGGGATGATGAGATCATGGATTAATGGATTAATTATATGGTTCATTGTAGTTCATTAATTAATATAATTAATAATCTATAATAATAATATGGTTAATAACTATATTAATTAGACGAAGCATATAGACTATTATATGGATTAATAATTAGATAGATAGACTGTTCCATTCATATAATTAGTATGTTCCATCCATGATATAAATGTAATCATAGATAGAATTACCCTCTGGTGAACTAACATAGCAATGGAAAATGGCCATTTATAGTGGATTTTCCCATGAAAAATGGTGATTTTCCATTGCTATGTTAGTTCACCAGAGGGTAGATAGTATGAACCATGAATATCCATGGCTTATGATTTCATCATCCCATCATCCCATCATCCATCAAGTGAACGAGCCTCGCCACGAGGTTTGGCCTGGTCCTTTGCATCCCTCCTTTGACCCCAAGGTGGGGCCAGCCACGGCTACAATGGCTTCTCCAGCATGAAAATTGCAATTTTGCTACGGAAAATGATGCATTTATCCATTCAAATCCACTTGCTATGAAAAAAATATTGGGAAATATGTTAAACCATCTAATTACATCAAATTGGGGGTTCTATGTTCAGACAAACCCATTTGAATGCAAAGTCACTCATTTCGTTTCATCGCAGGGCTGTCAATCTTTGACCCATACCCAAAGCTCTGGGGCTTCTGGGTAGTCGCTGACGCCGTGAACGGTGGCCTGTGATGGCCTGTGTGTTTTAGGTCATTTTTGTCATTTTTATATTAATGGGGGTGGGGTGGGGTGGGGTGGGGTGGGGTGGGGAGTGTATTAACGTCCTGGCGACCACGTCCTTGATACTACGTTGACAACATATGTTAAACTAACTTGGAAGACGCTCTTGATGCTACGTTGACAACATGTTGCAACCACTTGTACTGTATCTACTTACTTGTATGTACTTGGGGTGGGGTGGCGTGGGGTGGGGGGGGTGTATTAACGTCCTGACGACCACGTCCTTGATACTACGTTGACAACAACATGTTGAAGTCATATATGGGGTGGGGTGGGGTGGGGTGGGGAGGATGTTAATGTCCCTACGACCACGTCCATGATACTACGTTGTTAACATGTTGAAGTAACTTGGAACACGTCCATGCTACTGCGTTGTTGACATGTTGAAGTAACTTGGAAGATGCTCTTGATACTATGTCGTTAACATGTTGAAGTAACTTGGAAGACGCTCTTGATACTACGTTGAAATTCACACCGGACCAAATGTGTAAAGAGATGGGAAAGCTCTGCAAGTAGCGTCCTTGAATGAAAAAAAGGCGCTGACGCCCACAGGCCACCCGTCATGGCGTGACCTAGGGTAGTTTCGTAGTTTCGGTGTTAAACTATGTGGTTCCGGCGGTGACAACGAAGCTCTTTCCTTCAGATGGGGGCTGGCGAAGATGCAAGACACCCATCAGAATGCAGACTGGCTGGTACAACCATTTTTCACCTACCTATTTGGGGTGGAGACCATTACAGGTGGAGTTATCCATGTGACTGGTGCTTGCAAGGGGGAATTCTCCAGGTCAATGCGGACATGTTTTATTGTAAAGTCACTTGAAAGTCTTCATGACAAGAGTATCATCGAAACCAACCCACCTGGTCGACCGAAGCTCTCTTCTCGGAAGCTGTGCAGGCCCCATTGACTGCCAATGGTGCGCCAAAGCCCTTAGCGAGGTGGGCTGATGTTGGGTTGGTCCATCGGGAAACTTCAATGGAGGAAGCACCAACGTTCTGATCTCGTAGATGAATGCACTACAAGATCTATGACTAAAATGTTGCTTTGGTGGTCACAGTTACCAGGTTACCAACACAAGAAACGCAGAATCATCGTCTAGCAAAGCGATTTTCACAAACAATGCGTAACGCGAGAGCATCAGGTCATGCTGTTTGGGCGGTCACAAGAATACTGTCGTCCTCATCCTCTTTTGTTCCATCTAGTGCCAAGTGGATCATGCTCCAATTCTCAATTCTGAGGGACATTTATTGAATGTCAAGCAGAGCCACTGTTGCCAAATACATGATGGCAGACACGTATATTGTCCATGGCCAGCATTGATTGTATTGATCTCAAGCTACAAGCTTGTTCTTCTGTGCCCTCCAACCCCAGCATGCAAGCAGGGTTTCAATCCTTTTGATCCAGAATTATATCTTCATAAACCTTTGGTATTGTAGTCTCTATTTTACCCCCTGGTAATTCAAGATATGGAAAATCATAATGTTGATATAATAGGTAAATCATCGACGATCATTGGTCATGGGCCATGATTATCCATCGTCCATAAGAACCTGTAACAACAATTAACGGAGGGTCACTCGTTTTATCGTAGCTATCCATAGCTATGTCAGTTCCATAACATTCAATAACTACATGGTTTGCATATGAAAGTGCACCCGAGTTTTTCAAGTTGGTTTATATAATTAATTCACTCCCATGAACAAACCTTCGTTATATACCTCAAAAAACCAACAGTTACCCTCCGGTAAACTAACATAACTATTGAAAATCACCATTTTTCATGGGAAAATCCACTATAAATGGCCATTTTCAATAGCTATGTTAAATTACCAGAGGGTAACCAATTGAAAAAGCTAGGCGGGGGCTATCCAGGGAAGGCCCCAGCGAACCAAAAATTGGAGGCTGCGCCTTGAAGGCGAAATGAATTATCTTCACTGCTTGGAGGTGCGTAGCCGGTGGCCGCGATTAGCTTTGTGTTTTCACGTGTTGTGGGCTGTGGGTCGCCAAGGTGCAGAACTTCGGAAAATCCATATAAGGGTGTGTATATATATATATATATACGTGCATGCATGCATTACATACATTACATACATTACATACATTACATTACATTACATTACATTACAGTACATTACATTACATTACATTAATTATTACATACATACATACATTACATTACATGACATTACATTACATTACATACATACATACATTACATTACATGACATTACATTACATTACATTACATACATTACATACATTACATACATTACATACATTACATACATTACATACATTACATACATTACATACATTACATACCTAACACACGTAACAGACGCAACATACGTAACATACGTAACATACGTATTATACGTAACATACATAACATACATAACATACATATCATACATAGCATACATAACATACATAACATACATAACAAACCTACAAACAAACATAACATAACATAACATAACACAACACTACATTACACTACATTACATTACCTTACCTTACCTTACCTTACATTACATTACATACACACACATATTAGACATTGGTATATAGACATTGGTGCCATGTCGCTCAGGTGGGACCCGCGGCTCAAGGTCGCCGCTCTCGTCAGATCCTGGCGATGACGGGCAGCATGCCGCACCTCTGCAATGAAATCGGTTGGGGACACCCAGGTGGATACCCTCTGGTAAACGTACAAAAAACTATAGAAAATCACCATGCTATTAATGGGAAAACTCACTATTTCTATGGCCATTTTCAATAGCTATGTTAGTCATTACCAGGTGGATAGGTGGATGGTGGATCCGGTGGTCATGAAAATGGTGAGTTTTACCTATAGGAAATCCCATGGAAATCCACTGGGGTTTTTGTTGGCTTTCGAATGGTGATGTTTGTTATTTGGGAACAGTATATCCTGACCAAAAAATGATGAGTGAACCACTGTCAAAATGCTGGACCTGTCTGACTGGTGATGTTATTTTTATGGAAATGGTGATTGAGCAATCAAACATGGTGATTTAAACATGAATGCGGAGTGAAGCAGAAAAACGATGAGTTTTAGCAGCAAAAATTGTGTTTTAGCAATATTTAACCATCCAAAATTGGGAGTTCATCTTCGAAAATGTCGATTCAACCAGCAAAAGTTTAGGTTTTTATCAAGAAAAACGAGGATACCCTTGAACATGTCTTTTCTTGGGCATGAAACACGAGGAACCCCTTCGTTGGCCGTTGGATTCTTAGGAGCTAAGGAGCCCGGGATGACAAAAAGAGGCCACTTAGCCCCTCTTTGAATAGCTCCATTCCTGTTGGCAGTGGAGGTTGAAGTTTGCTTGGCTTGTACACCTGGAGGTTTTTCTGCCAAGGGTTTTTCTTTCATGTGTTCCTTTCCACTAGGAACCTTGCTACGCCTTGGGACATCCCGAGGTTTGATGGATTTGGATTCGCTTCAACGAAGGGGGGACGGCTTTGAAGGTGCCGGGGATTCTGATTGTTTAGTGCCAAGTTGAAGTTTTTGTTTGACATGATCTCACGTGGATTTAGAGTGTGTTCATGGTTTTGCTGGTTTCTTGTAATCTTGAGAATAGGTTTTATGGTCATGTGAACATGATGAGCATCCTTTTGGCTGGAACCATGATGGAATTCGGAGGTCTTTTTTTTTCGGGATATCACGGGTTCTCCAATTTTCAGGACCATTTCAGTTTGGGCCTTTTTGCATCATGAAACATGCCACGACATGCCACGACATCCACGACCCGTCATCGAACTCGTAGGACTTCCAGAAGGAGAGGTGCGAAAAATGGACGTGTCCAGCTGTTGGAGTCGCTGGATAACAACCCAGCAGGGGGATGTCTCGAAAAACCCATGGATATCAAAGGATATCAATGGATTATGATGTTGAAAAATTGCCCACATTGTACGTGGCATGCACATCGGAGTGGGGCAATTGATGTTGAAACTTTCGTGCTGTTCGGAAGCGCATGACATGGGGAATTGGAGACATCGCCGGCGAAGTTTGAAATTTCTTGGGGTACAATTTTGAACTACCCTCTGGTAAACTAACATAACTATAGAAAATCACCATTTTCAATGGGAAATTCCACTATAAATGACCATTTTCAATAGCTATTTTGACATAACCAGAGGGTATTTGCCTGGAAAAAAACAACAAGATGGTTGCTTGTAAGGTTCCGACTAGAGACCACCTCTGTGAAAGGTGAGAGGCCATCCTTCCACTGTCTACTAATTGGGAATGTCTCAAAATTGGGCACCCCAACCCTAATGGTTTAAAAGTGTCCTTCCCCCATCAACTTTGGGCCACGCCCACCCAAATAGCATTTTGTTGATTCTGTATACATATACGAAAAATAGTTATCACATAATTACTTATATTTATATCCCAGAATCCCCCGTCATTAGATACCCCCTGACACCAAAAAACTATATTCCTATCGTCTTTTCCGTTACACTGCCATATGTACCAATCCAGCCCCAGCGACTGCGCGCTGCACGAGCATAGGTGCCTTCTGCCTTGCCGAAGGTCTACGACGTGGGAGTCAAGGTGGGAGAACGTAGCAGATGTGTAGCGTATGGCCGTATGATATCCCCATATATATATATTATATATATTATATAATATATATATATAACACACCCAAATTATGCATTGTTGAATATCTGAATATCTGAAATATATGTGGTAAATACATTGATTTTTCACTGACCCTTGAGATTTAAATCCCAGGGATGGGTGTGAACCTGTGATTTTCAATTGATTTTCTATCTAGCGGGGATGAACATCCAGCCAAAAAGCAACGATTTTGATGTGAACAACGGGGCTCCAGGGTTTCGACCCATGGAAGCCCATGGTGTGAATACATTCATACACATGGTTTGCAGATACACAGTGATATGTGATGCCTGGTTGGTTTCAAAGATGAATTTTATCTTCCATAATATGAATGGGATGTCATCCTTCCCATTGACGAACTCCATCATTTTTCAAGATGGTTAAAACTAACCACCAACCAGATGCCATGGATGTGTAATTGGGGGTGTTCCAGGGTGGAGGGTTCAGGCACCTGCCGGCACCATAGACGATCCGGCCTGACGTCTCCCAGGTTCACTCCATGGGCGAGCGTGTGGTACTGAGCGCCAAGTGGAATGCTGCGGGGGACTTCATCTTGCTGAACACCAGGTGGGATGCTGTCTGGGTAAATTATAACGACCTCACTGTTCTCCCTCACTATAATCATAGTTAGTAAGGGGAATCATCCCAAAATGGCCGAACTATTCAGGTTAGTGAAATATTATAATTTACCCAGATGCTGTGCATGATGGGCAGGGATCAGCAGGATACAGAAAAAACACTGCGTGTGTGATATTTAACGGTCATCAATGGTCATCTTAATGGTTGCTGAGGTTGTGATGAGTAAGAATTCCTGGCAACTTGTCAATCTAGCACTCAAAGGGTGGCACCACAATTCCTCAATAATGCTGACCAATTGACCATCCACCTAGTCATCAATTATAATAAACGGTCTTTGATTATAATCGATAAATTGACCGCTAGTTATCAACTATCAACGTTGACCATCCAATCCAATCGGACTTTAGATTATACAGTTACTTTGATGTATTATCTATTCTGACCATGAGGATGGGAGCTTCTCTACCAGCCTTCAACCTACATCCTGGCGTTTTTTGGGTATCCCAACCAACCCAAATCCAGTACCCTCTGCTAATCAGACATAGCAATGGAATATCAGCCGTATTTATAGATGAAGTTCCCATTGAAATCTTCATCTATTGATGGTTTTTGTTCCCATATGTTCCTATGTTTTCCCCATTGCAACCTCCGGTTGATGGGGATTTCACTCCCGAAGTTGTTGCATGCCTTGACGCTTGGCAGGCCATACGCAACGAAAGGTGGAGGTGCAACGGGCACATGTTGGAAGTCGTTCATTTGGTTTCTAAAAGATCCCCAGTCATCACCATAGTCGTTTCAGTATGGTCATCCATGACTTGGATGATGTCTAATGACTTGGATGATTTGGGGATACCTCATGATTTTGGACATCATTCATATGGTCTGACGTGAGAAGACACTCAAAATGAGAATTTCTGATGTACAAAAAAACAAAAAAACATCTTTGACTATCCCAAAAACTTGGCATTCAGCCATCAGTGGCTCAAAAACTAGTGTTTTGTGTGGTAGGAACTGGGCCACTTAGGCGACTTAGTATTAAAAACCATCCAATTTGGCGTGGTCAAAATGGACAGTGACTGATCTGCAGGTACTACTGTGCGGGCTTCAGATCCTCAGTGCAATCTTTCGGTGCCAACGAGTCAACCCATGCATTTAGAAGCTTCGGATCATATTGTACTTGTATTATTGTTTATATTGTGTGTATATTATATATATATATATATATTTATATTATATTAAATTATATATTTATACTATGTATATATATATATATATATGGAGACATAATATATATATATATATATGTGTGTGTGTATCGATTGAGCCTACAATATACCGGTAGGAAAAAGCACACCTTGGTGGGTTTCAGGAGGTACTATCGCACACATATCCGATGTCCATGTGCATAGCTCTTCGAGTTCGGTTGATTTTTCATCATCATTCTTCTTCATCATCATCATCATCATATTCTATTGTTTCTCTTGCCTACTGTCAACGTTTATTGTGAGTGTATGGTACGGTATATGTGTTCGTGCCATTTATAGTTGATTGTACATGCACCCTTTCAAGCTGATCATTGTGACATTGCCAGCTTTCACATGGATGCTGCAATTCAGTTTCCCACCAATACACAAACAAAAACACAGGAAATCTTTCATTTTAGCATATGCTATCTCCTGCTGATGATTCTAACATATTCTAACCTTCTATACAGATGATTTCCCAGATCTTCTCATTAAAAGGGGAAGTCTCCGTGTCCTAAAAGCCGTTTGGGCCGTTGGGTTCTTCAACGACCACCCGCCCGCCTAGGTCTCCGAGGGAGATACCTTTGAGGTGCACGAAGATTGAAGCACTGCAACGAAGAATTTTGACTTTGACAAACAGTATATACCTAAACATATATGTATAATAGTATAATATTGTATACTATAACTATAACATACTATAACTATTCATATCTTCTATTGTATATTTATATACCCTATAGATTGATATCGTTTGATGACCTATATATATATGCTAGCATGAGTTCGAAGCTCTCACTGTCACTGCCAGGACCTTTTGGTAAGGCCAGCACCCGACTTGTCGGGTCCTTGGAAATTGGGTCAGGTGGCGCAGGTGGTCAGGTCTCTGCACTTGGAAAGTGGCTTTGCTTGGGAAAAGGATCCCAGAAAACTATCGAAAACTGATGTGGCAGTGTGTCAAAACCGTATACCCCTGGTGAACATCAAAATAGCTGGTAAATGGATGTTCATCCCATTAAAAATGGTATTAATAGGTATTGATCCATACCCATGTTTGGTGAATTGTTGATATACTGATATACTGGTTGGTGGTGAATGGAACCATGGAATTTTGAATGACTTTCCATGTGTTGGAAATAATCATCCCAACTGACGAACTCATATTTTTCAGAGGGGTTGAAACCACCAACTAGTTCATGTTTGTGATGAGTTTGGGACATGTTGACATGCCAAAGTATGGGAAAAAAACTCGCTGTTACCATGAAATATGGCAGTAAAAGCCTGCTTTAGGCGTTCTTCCCAATTCTAGGAATGTGGTAGATTTTTTTGAGATTCTTGGAACAACATCAAGGGATTTTCAACAACTTGTAAGGAGTCCAACTTGGGGATATTTGGGGGATATTTGGGGATCCTATAACTTCAGTTCTCCACATTTTTTCGAATTCTTGGAGAGTGTTCAATTCCGACTTTGGAGCTAAGTCCTATAGGAAACCTGATGAATGCCGATTCCACCGCATACTCTGCGAAATCCTGCAGTTGCTAGATGGGCTGATCATCCCATGATCATCCCATAGTGTTGTCGCAGTGTTTCTAATCATTCTAATCGTTACCTTTCATCGTTACCCTCCGGTAAACTAACATAACTATGGGCAATCACCATTTTTCATGGGAAAATTCACGATTTTTATGTTAAATTACCAGAGGGTACCTGTTTTAAAGGATGACTTGTCCATCCACAGTAGGGGATTTCGGGATCACTGCAGTTGCGGCAAGCTTCCTGGCCACCCAGGTCCACCCGAATGGAGTTGTTGTTGCTGGATGCTCGCAACTGAGGAATAGCATCCCTGGACTTCCAGAGACGGTGGTTTGTTGTGTATTTAGCCATCCATTTTTTCGGGGTTGGTGGGGACTTCACGCGTAGCTGGTTGTCTCTACCGCTGTCACACAGCACTAAAGTCAAAGGCGGAAAAAAAACATTTTTTTGGGGGGGGTAAACCATTCACAATTGGACCATACAGCAACAAATCATCACAAAAACATAGAAAAACCGGGAATTCCAAAAGTGGAGAAGCCATAAGTATCCGTTCTGGTTTTCCATGGTTTTCCCTTGGTCAAATTGTGGTGTATATAATTCGATTCTGTGTTGAAGTTTCTCATATACCCGGTCCAAAGGCAGCATGATAGTGTGTTTTCAGTTTGCAGGACTCGATTTTTCCACGCGAGTTCCTCCCAAATCAAGCACATCTATGGTAGTTTGGTTAATCAACTTCCTACCCTTCTGTTTCCCCTCAATTTCCAGCATTTGATTTCAAGGCTAGTCGTTTCACCTGAGGCCGCTTCGATGGATGTGTTGTCTGTTTTCGATGGCCACTTCGCGTTCACGACCAAGGAGCATCAGCTGGGAGACGCGCTGAGAGATTCTATGCATATCAGATGTGCGGCAGAGTTTCAAGAACAATTTTGAGAGCATATTTGATATGCTGTGCAATCCTATGGCCATTAGAGGCTCTTAGATCATCCTAGCAATCTGATTTGCAATTATCAAAAAAGATTGCTTCGAAATGCTGAAAAAAGCATTCCAATCGTCTGCTGATCAAGGATTTTTGCTGGATGTTGGAGTCCAACTGTCGTGCCATGAGCAGGAAAGCCCGTTCTTGATCTTTACCGAAGAGTCCAAAACTCAGCCTGTCCTCCATGGGGTCGCTCCCGGTCGCCCGGGGTCGTCTGAGGTGGGCGAACAGCGACTTTGTTGCGAGTGGCGGGGAGGCGTCGGGTGGCATCGTCTTTGCGAAAAAGGCGGTGTGTTCTTCTTTTGGTTGGTAAAACATAGCTGGTTGGTGGTTTGGAACATTATTTATTTTCCATAATAATCCTTTCCATTGACCATTGACTCATATTTTTCGAGATGGTTAAAACCACCAACCAGTAAGTTATGTTTGAGTTATACAGGGAAGGTTGACTTTGCGTCCTTGTAAAAAGCCTAGCAGCCTTGTTAGAGCGTTGTAGCTTTGTGCGGACAGAGCCTCATGCACTCAACGATGACTACTCACAGTCACAGTTTGAATTTCATTTGGATCTTTACTTGGTGGCTCATCCCACTTGGTAAGTAGGTTATATCATGTTATATCCCCAGTTATAAGTGGACTCACCCAATAACAAAACCACCAGTTGCTTGCCCCTTCGCGGATTTCGGCAGCTAAAACCCTCTTTGGGATAAACCCCCACCAGCTATCTTGGGGATTTCCGGGCATCAAATACATCCTTCTTTGCACCAAAAACCATGAGACCAGATTCTATGTATAGAATCCATCATCATCATCATCGTCATCATCATCATCATCATCAAAATCAGTGAATTCCCCCATGTTTTAGTGAGGGCAATCATGGTAAATCATGGTAAACATCACCATGTTTCTTTGCAATCCTGGAAAATGCCAAGGAAATCCCATGCCATGCCGCCGTGCCGCCGTGCCGCCAGGACCATCGTGTTTACGTTTGGCACCGGCGGCATCGCCGCCTCGTGCGCCGCCTTTGTGGTTCGGATGCCCGTAACATCATGGCCCAGCCTGGCAGGACATGGTGAGTTCACCAAGATGTGGATTTCAGCTATAGAAAGATGATAAAAAAATGGGGATTGATAGTTGATCTCAGTTGATTTAGCTTAATTTAACTTGGTTTATGATTGTTTTTTTTGAGAAACCAAGAATTTGCGGGATTTCACCAGAAAACATGGGGCTTTTTTTTAACGGGAGTTTATGGTAGATATTTGATGGTGCCTATTATTCAAGTAAACTTATAACTGGGGGTTACCACCTTGCTATGATCAAAAGATATCAAAAGGTGGGAGTCGTAGAGTACGGTCATCCAACACTCCCCATATGGAGGGTTTCGTTTTGTCATGGGGCTACCCCAGTCGTCACAAAGTGACGTCATGGTCCGACTGAGAATTTGGGGGGTAGCCCTATGACAAAATGGAAACCTCCATATGGGGGATGGCCATCCCTCAATATCTATATATATATACATATACCCTCTGGCAATTTAACATAGCTATTGAAAATGGTGATTTATAGTGGATTTACCCATTAAAAATTGTGATTTTCCATAGTTATGTTATGTTAGTTTACCAGAGGGTATATATATATTATAGAATCTAACTCTTGATGCGTAAGGCACGCATCAAACATCTTCTTAAAGTGTGGTGAATTCCCAAAACTTTGAATGAGGAACTGACATTTGTTTAAGGCATAGGAACTGAATGCATTTTTCTAGATGAGCCAGAAAAGAGGATGTACCCGGTAAGAAGGTATTCAATGGTATTCATAGCAATTTGAGATCATAGAAATTAGAGCAATCCATTTGAATGCTATATTTACCATGGTATACTTTCGTATGTGGGGATTTAACTGAGGGGGTCGCTTGTTGGGTGTTATCCCATTCTATCCCGTTACATGCCATTAGATTTCCACATTGTGGTTGGTGTTCTGTCCACGTGTTTCTTGGTGAAACCAGATTAAAAATCCAATTTTCTTTGTTTACCCTCTGGTAAACGTACAAAAAACATCAAAAAACTATGGAAAGATCACCATGTTCAATGGGTAAATGCACTATTTCTATGGTCATGGCTTCAATAGCCAACTGTTAGTCATTACGAGGCCGGGTAAATCCCGTGAACTTCCAAACTGTGGATGAAATCTCCCCTAGTTTGATAGGGGTTTCTGCCATGGGGAAGCTCCAAATCACTGAGGATGTACTAAGTCATGGTCATCAATGACGACTTGGATGATGACTGGGGTACCTCCATATGTAATACTGAATACTGTAAAACAAAATCGTAAACCATCCCCAAATTTACCATCAGCCAGGGTGGTTTTTCATAGTATAAACCATGAATCCATATAATCCAAGCATCATCTAGAAGTGGCGATTCTTCATCATCATGTGGTCCCAAAAATCAATCATCCCATGAACAAAAATATGGGCGGTTACCCTCTGGTTATGTCAAACATAGCTATGGTTTGAAGCCATGGCCCAGTCGAAAGTTCGTGGATTTTCCCATTAAAATCGCATGGTGGATCTTTCCAGTTCGTTATGTGGCTACGTTTACCAGGCCGGGTCATGTAATCAATATCCCCGCTTCAATGGAACCCGAAAAAAACCCACATCAATAGAACATGAACCACTGATTTTCGCCAATTTACAGGACCAACATATGGGTCATTTATCCCATTTATAGATGATTTTCCCAGCTATAAACCTCCATGGAGAACGAGTTGGCATTTTCCGCCAACGTCCCGACGTCCCCCGAGTGACGTGAACCCTCGATCAGGCCACACCGAGCCGGTGAATGCGGTCAGTTGGAATGGTCTGGTTGGCTCAGTGAGTTCGGTGGATTTTTTGTGCACCTCGCCATGCATGATACGTATGAATGATACATGTATGTAGTGTGTATATATATATATACCCATAGGATCCATGTATATCCATGTATGCTATATATGGTAACATGGATCCCATCAATATATCCCCAATCTTAGCATATATACCATACATGGATCCTAGGGGATATATAAGTGTGTACAAAGACGTATGTTGGATAGATAGAATGATTGTATATTGATTTGATATGCAACATATTTTAATACGTGGGATACTGTATATATATATATATGTTGTGTCACATCTATTAATAAATACATAGTGAAAAGTAAGATAGAAAATAGGACTGCCCCTGGTCTCTCTCTTTGTAGCACCATGTAAAGCACATGGAAGTGCTATCATTTCTACCAACGTAACAACTAGTGTTACCCTGACCAGTAATTGGGAAGATTGCCCCCAAAATGGTGTGAAATGTTGTATATTAACTAAAATTGACACCCCTTATTAGTAAACTGATGGCGTATTAATCCTGGCATATGATATCCTGAGTTAACACGCAAATTCTGCAGCTGAAGACCAACCTTGAATTGGAAGAAACACATATTTTTTGCTCTCTCAACATGCTACTTTCTCGTTTTTCACTCTGCCTTTTTTCGATGTCCAAGAAAAGAATGTGATTTGGAAGACATTCCCAGCCTTAGTGATTTTTCGAGCACTAAGGCTGCAACTGCAAATGTGGAAATCCCCCAATATCAATCCCTTTCCCCCAATATGAAGCACCCCCCAGTGGCACCATGGTTTAGTAAGGGATTTCCACATTTTTGGCACCATGGTTTAGTAAGGGGGTGTTTAATAAACGTGACGGGGGACGGGAGGTGATTTTTTCCAGGGTTGTTACACGGAATCTTGCAATGAGATTGATGAAAGTTGCATACCACGAGATTCTAGAAAGCAAATGGAGGCAGGGACGCCAGCAGAAAGTTGTTGCCAAAAGGCACCTGGTTGGATTGTCATTGACACCCTCAATCATAGTTATATAGTTGGTGTGTTATCCTTATATGCAATTATCTTCCCACTATGCATATCTATACATATGGCAGTGTGTCAAAACCAATAGTACCCCTTCTGTTCACCCCAAGTCATAGCTGGGATTTATGGATGTGAATAACCCCTAAATAGCTGGTATTTTCATAGGTATTGATCCATAGCCATATAAATATACCATTAGGTTGAATTCCAATGATCACCACGTAACTTGAAAAATTCCATTTGCTAGCCATGTCGCCTCAAGGCAATGGCTTGCTTGCGTCTGCTTCTGATGACCATAGCGTCATCATTTGGACCTCAGGCAGTTTCGAATGTTCTGGGTACATTATGACGGCGATAATCTGGAGATTATGATTAGTAAGGTATGTAAGATATAAGTATCCTAAAATTGCCGAACTTTTTAGATTGGTGCCTCCTTCTAATGTAGCCAGAGCGTTTGATCCCAGATTTTTTCGGAAAATTCACAGAACAACCTTTTTTTCTACTGGGGTAAACTATGGTTTCCTGTAAATGTTCCCTGACATCCCATCGAATTTGAGATTGGCTGGTTTACTTGGATATGGTCTGAGAAGTCCTGTGACAGGTACCCGCCAGAAAGCATGAGATCAAGAGACCAGAGCCGATTAGCTCTTCTCTTGGAAAATTATATTAATTACATTTATAAAATAAATTTATATAAAATAATATTATTTATAATTTTATCATATTTTATCAATAATATTTATATATATGGAGGGCGGGCCAGACCGCGAGACCCCGGAA